TCCCTTTCCTCTCCAGGCTGAGGCTCAGTCCAGACATTATGAGCAATTCTAATAATCACGCTATGTATTGGTTTTCATCTCCATTGGACAGACATGGCCACGTAGTAGCCGGGAGACCAAGTGGCTTCTCCAGAGTGACAGACTTGAAGTCGGGCTCTCCCTATCCCCATCACACCTGTGTTCCGTGGAGAGTGTCCTTGGAAGGCCCAGCCCAGCCTCAGGCTTAGCCACCTGCTAGTGGGCGCCAGGCTCAGGATAGCTGGTGGAAGGGTTTCCTGCAGAGCCTGCAGGACAGCAGGCCCAGCCCGCCGCAGGGAGCAGCAGGAAGACGAGATCTGCTGTGGCTCTCAGCACGCCAGCCCGGGCCCCTCCCCAGGCAGCTCGAACACTAGTCGCCCCCTGTTTGTGGAGCCTCGAAATGCCCAAGGAGACTCGGACTCTGGACCAAGAATTAGGCGCGGACTCACACCCACCCCTCCAGCCTGCCCACCGCCAGGCCCCTGAGCACAGCAGCCGGTGCTCAGCCAGCTGCCTTTCCTGCCCAGCTCAGGGCCAGCTTCCCCCTCTCCTGAATACTGAATCGCTCACGTCTGGGGTGTGCAAACAGAGCACCCCGGGAGAACCTACTCAGAGGAGAAGAGAAAAGGCCCAGCTCAGGGCCAGCTTCCCCCCTCCTGAATACTGAATCGCTCACGTCTGGGGTGTGCAAACAGAGCACCCCAGGAGAACCTACTCAGAGGAGAAGAGAAAAAGCGGAGTTCGAAGCGAATGTCGTGAGACAAAGTAGCTCTGAACATGCAGGGCCACCACCAGAGAAAACTCACCCTGCAGTCCCAGTTCCTCCTCCTGGACTGAAACCTTGTCCCCAGGCAACAGGAGAGTCCCTGGAGCTAATTAGCATAGTCGTGTTACCAGCAGGAAAGGGGAAGAGCCCATTGGCTGAAAGTGTCTCCAAGACACCCAAAGTCTGCAGAGAGGAGTCCCACAGTGGGGTTGTTCCCGCCCCTGCCCCACCCTGTGGTTGGTGGGGGAGGGGGGCTGTAGCGCCAGCCCAAGGCAGCTTTCCATGGTGACAGCCGGTGGACCTGCTAACAGAGGGGGAAAGCCACCTCTGCACTTGTAAGGGACAGGTAGCCTGCTCCTGGAGCACCGAGCCCCAGGAAATAGCATGGCCCCTCCTTGCAATCTGTCCAGATAGATGTTTCTGCTCGTTGGGTTTTTAAAGGCTGTTTTCATCTGTTTGTTTATTTGAATTTAATTATTTCTTGCCGTTTTCTCTTTGCACCCTTTTTATTTTATTTTTTAAATCTTCACCCAAGGTTATATTTATTGATTTTTAGAGCGAGCTAGAGAGAGAAACAAACATCACTGTGAGAGAAACATTCCAACCCACAGCCTAGGCGCACGCCCTGGCCGGGGACCGAGCCCAAGCCTTCTTGTGTACCGACGGCACTCCGGCCACGGGGCCACCTGGCCGGGCTCTTTGCTCCCTTTTTCCACCATTAAATCAGAGTGATGATAATGCTTATAAAATCATACAACTGTGGTCCCACCTCACCCTGGACTTGGAGCTGTCTCCCGAGTGGGGCACACGGGAGGGTCTGGAGAGGGGCAGCGGTTTCAGATGCCCCACGCCAGCTCAGGAGCTGTTTCCCTGTGGCCCTCCTTGGGTGTCTGTGGTTTTCTCAGGCCCAAGGATTAGCCCCGCCCCTGGTCCCAGAGCTGAGGCCAGGATGGGCAGAGGCCCAGATCCATCCCTTTCAGACTGAGAGGGTGCGGTCTCCAACCAGAGAGTCCCCGCAGAGCCCCTCTGGCCTGCTCACCCACCTCTGGAGGCCTCTCCGGGTCCTCTGCCCGCCTGTAGGGAGGAGGCGAGTCTCTGGGCTGTGCCTCTGGCTCTCCGGGGCCAGGCTCCGGTGGAGCGGAGGTGGGAGTCAGGTGCAGTTAGTCCGGGGGGCAGAGTTGGTGGCAAATGAGGAGGCAAACCATGGGCCCTGGAGAAGGGAGGGCCCCACGGCCCCAGCAGAGCGTGAGCTGGTTTACAGGTGGCACAGTTGGTCCAAGGTCGTGCAGCAGGCTCTGGGCAGAACCAGGCAGGGCTTCACTCTGACGCCAGAGTCTTGCTCTCAAGGTGGGAGCATCGCCCGCTCAAGAACAGCGTCAGCAGCCCCTGGACTGTGCCCACACCTGTGACCGTGTGGTTTCTCCCAGACCAGGCTCACCTGCCCCACCCAGCACTCAGGTGTGACAAATGTTACTGGCCACGTTCAAAGAGTGAGATCAAAACCGTTGAGAGCAGTCAAGTGGCAGGGACAGGCCTCGGACCCAGGCCTCGGACTCCAAAGCCAGTGCCTTCCCCACGCGGCCCGCCCGGCACTGGGAGGGCTTTGCAAAGTCAGCGGCTCCTTGTTTCATCTAGAATGTCCATTGTATGGAGGAGACAATGCAGTTTCTCAACTGTCACCCTGCTCGTTAGCCGGCATTGACAGTTAACATAGACCGTTCCCAGAGTTCTGCGACCGCCTTCAGAGTGATGTGCTTTAAAAGACTTACCTAGAACTCACCTTCAGTCAGGTGTCCTGGCACGGCTGCTGAGGCATCCTTCCCTGATGGTGACAGGTGGTGACCTTCCCTGGAGCCCACAGCCGAGGAGAGAGGGGCAGGGTGGGAGACGCTCTAGGTTCCGCACACCATCCCCCGCGGCTGTGTCACAAAGACCACGGTGCATTCTAGAGCCCTTCCTGAAAGGGAAAACGACAGAGGCTGTCCCCGTTTCTGGGACCCTGACAGGCACATCGTCCTCCCCTCATGCCACCCCGCACGCGGACTCCAGCCCCACACCTGGGAAGGCTCGGCCTGCATCCTGTCAGTGCGTCGACCCCCGGCTCCAGCCCCACTCGGCCCTAGTTGCAGCCTCAGAGTCTGCTGCTGTTCGGGATGGGGGGGCTCTCAGACAGAGCAGGAGAACCAGGTCTTCACCTGCTGTTCAGGATGGGGGGGGGCTCACAGACAGAGCAGGAGAACCAGGTCTTCACCTGCTGTTCAGGATGGGGGGGGCTCACAGACAGAGCAGGAGAACCAGGTCTTCACCTGCTGTTCAGGATGGGGGGGGGGGGCTCTCAGACAGAGCAGAAGAACCAGGTCTTCACTTGCTGTTCAGGATGGGGGGGGCTCTCAGACAGAGCAGGAGAACCAGGTCTTCACCTGCTGTTCGGGATGGGGGGGGGCTCTCAGACAGAGCAGGAGAACCAGGTCTTCACTTGCTGTTCGGGATGGGGGGGGGCTCTCAGACAGAGCAGGAGAACCAGGTCTTCACCTGCTGTTCAGGATGGCGGGGGGGCTCTCAGACAGAGCAGGAGAACCAGGTCTTCACTTGCTGTTCGGGATGGGGGGGCTCTCAGACAGAGCAGGAGAACCAGGTCTTCACCTGCTGTTCAGGATGGGGGGGCTCTCAGACAGAGCAGGAGAACCAGGTCTTCACTTGCTGTTCGGGATGGGGGTGCTCACAGACAGAGCAGGAGAACCAGGTCTTCACCTGCTGTTCAGGATGGGGGGGGGGGTTGCTCACAGACAGAGCAGGAGAACCAGGTCTTCATTTGAGCCTTGGCAACTAGAGCAAAAGTGGGCCCATGTTTCGACTCTGTCGTTTGCCTGGATCAGGCTGACCGAGTAGATGACTTCTCTGCTGGGGAAGAGGCGAATCCCAGCCTGTTTACAGAGGATCTGTAAGGAGAGAGTGGAAGAGGAGGGTAGGGCGCCGGGGCCAGGTGAATGGCAGCAGTGCCCCCCTGCGGGCACCGTGGCAGCCAGGCCTTGTCTGGGCAGAGACCTGCAGGGTCCGGGCCCCGTGCACAAGGGTGGGTGGGGTCTGTGGGCACCTGGACCTCATGGAGGCAGGGGACATGGCTGGAAAGGGGCTGATTTGGTTTGGTTTGGTGGCACATCTGAGCTGACACCTGGTCTTGGGAGTAGATTGAGAGTCTCATGGGGATGGGGGGGCGGACATGGAGGGGGAGACGGACATGGGGGAGATGGACATGGGGGGAGACGGACACGGGGGGGAGATGGGCACGGGGACGGGGGGACATGGGAAGGAGCCAGGACACCCTGGAGGCCGGGAGCTGGCCCGAGCCTGGCTGAGCTGGGGCTTCAGGAGGGGCTCTCCCCACGCCCTCCCACACCGTCTCCACACACCTCCAAACCGGCCCTGCCAGGCTGGTATTTCTTCGGTTCCGTTTGCATTTCTTAACTGTATTTGTAGAAATATAAATAGACACAGCCTTTTAAGAGGACAGTTTAGCAGTATGTGTAAAACATGCTCAGACTTTTAGCCCAGTGGCACCCCGGCCAGAAGCGTGCCTCAGGAGACACGCGGAACGAGATCCGTGTCCGAAGGTGGCCGTGGACACCTGAGTGGTGAGGGCAGAGCCCAGCACGGCAGACACCACGCGACTGCCCACGGTGCCCCCCGCTGGAGGGGGCAAGCCCTCAGTGCTGTCACCATGCAGCGGGATGGGCCAGCTCGGGGAGACCGCCACGCGTCGTCAGCTTAAAACCCACACAGCGTCTAGACGGGCACGTGGGACGCTCTGGGAACCGTAAACTGCAGATACTTCTTGAATGGGAGAGGAGAACTGGAAATTCTATTGTATGTTCGTACTTTATATTGCGTGCGTTTTAACCACATACACATGTGTACTCACCTGTGCGTACAGTGTATTCACGAGGAGATGTCTGGGAAATCCATGTGAGGCGTGCGGGCCCTGAGCCTGCTCTCACGTGCCTGGGACTCTGCAGGGGCCACCTGAGGCTGCAGCGTGCCTGGCATGAGTGTTGCAGTGACCGCAAAAACCTCCCCGTCAGTGGGGTGGGTGGCGCAGGAAGAGCCCCGGCCACGAGCGGCCATGCGCCCGGCCGGCCCCACGGAGCCCGGGAGGCCCCAGCTCTCCCTCCGCTCCTGCCTCGAGAGATTGGCCAGCGCTTTGTTTTCTGTCCCACAGGAGATCCCCCGGCATCGACAGGACCGTGCTGCAGAAGTGGCAGGTACAGTGACACCCTCGGTGGACTCCGGGTCTGGGGGCCCTCTGGGAGTGCAGAGCAGAGAACAGTTCAGGCGCAGGGATGCAGACAGGAAGCATGTGGGTGAAGAAAAGGATCTGTTTTCTTAACGAGCACAGGGCTTTGGGCTGCTGAGCTGCCGTGTTCCTGGCCGGCTCTGCTGCCAGCTGGCACCTGCTTCGGTCTCATCGGGATGAGTGGGCTCCGGCGGACCGGGCTGACTGGTGCCCAGGTGCGCAGGGAACACGGGCGTGAGCGCCAGCTCTCACCTGTGCAGAGGCGTCTCCCAGAGGGCCTCTCAGACCCAGGGCCCCAGGAAGATGCACCGTGTCTGCCTGACAGCCTTCTTTGTCTCTTCTGGTAGAAAAGGGACATCAGCAATTTTGAGTATCTCATGTACCTCAACACCCTGGCCGGGAGGACCTACAACGACTACATGCAGTATCCGGTGTTTCCCTGGGTCCTGGCGGACTATACGTCACAGGTATGGTGTTCACACGGGCACTCTGAGGTGTCCCGAGGTTTTCTGACCTTTGACGACCAAGCTCCCTAAATCAGTGCTCTGAGCCTCTGCTGTTTGGTGCGGCCCACCTGGGCCCGGGTTGTGCCAAGTCAGCCCCTCGCCCAGCGGGAGGCTCCGGCCCTGCTGCCTGGGCTCCTGTCCAGTCTCACGGCAGGGACAGTGCCGCATGGCAGGCAGGTGATGCTCGTCTGCTGAGAATGCCACGGGCCACCGCTGTCCTCCTGGTGAGGGGCCCAGGCTGTGTTCCTGGAATCGGCGTGTGTGTCGGGGGGTGTCGGGAAGGAGAGGAGAGAGCAAGGGAAACAGACAGAAAGAAGGACCTGCTCCGCTGCCGCCCAACGCAGTCGGAGGTGATGGTCTGTGCCCTTCACCCAGCGCTGGAGCCGGACAGCGATCAGGGCGGCTCGTGGAGACCACAGAGCTCACTCTTTGGCGTCTGTTCCGGACTTCAGCAGGCAGGGGAGGAGAAGAAGGAAGGCTTAGAGGGGGCTGAGGTGACTCGTGGGTAAGACCAGGCTGTGAGGCGGGGTCCTACCACCTGGCTCCGGCCTCAGGAGGCTGTTGTGAGGGGCAGGAGATGTCTGGGTCCTGTTCGGCCAGCTCCGCCGGTCCTGCCTCGGGCTGCTAGCATGGCTGGCCCTCGGCTTGGGAGAGGGGTCTCAGGTGCTGTACCCTCCCGTCCCCACTGAGGACATCTAATGCGGAGCAGCTTTCTCACCAGCCACGTGTCGCTTCTCATTGCCCTAAGAATCGTCTGAGGCTGAGACACCTCAAATACAAAACTTGCTAATTGCAGCTTTGACCCACCTTTTACGAAGTGCTGGCTTTCCAGCCCCTTTTTTAGCCCCAAATTTTGATCACTTACTGGCATTTAAAAACAGATTTCTCCCCCGACTCTGGGTTTCCCGTGTCTTGGGAGAAGCAGGAGGCCTGAGAGCGGAGCGTGGCCTCCGTGGGGGAGCGTGGCCTCCGTGGGGGAGCATGGCCTCCGTGGGGGAGCGCCTGCTGCCTCTGGCCCCGCCCCGGGGATGGCAGTGCGAGGGAAGCTGGTGTGGACGCCTCTGCACAGACATGCTGCCCAGGGAGCACACGGCCTCTGCTGACACACAGCGTCTGCTGACACAAAACGCCGAGCCCTCCGCGGGCACCACTGCTGTTTCCCAAGGGCAGGCACATGCCTTCCTGGCCCAGACGGGAGTGGCCTCCACAGAAATGAGGCCGCCTTCTGCCTTTCTCCCCAGACAGATGCCTTCCCACTGCCCGGAAAGTCAGCTTGAGTCTAAGCAAGGGCCTGGCGCCATTGCCGCGAAGCTCTGGGGGCTGCGTCCCCTGCAGCCTAGACACCGGGCTCGGCTGAAAGCACCTTCCAGGCGCTGGTGGCGACCCTCTGGTCGGCCGACCCGGGCCAGGCTCAGTGCGAACCCAGTCTTGCCCTCCTCTCATCTCCCCTCCCTCCTTCGGAGTCTCTGTGGCCACTGGCCCCGGGGCCGTGAAACCGCGGCGGCCTGCTGGTCACCAGAGGGGTCAGGCCAACGACGCTGAGCCCGTAGAGAATGATCAAACCAACGAGTGCGGAGCCTGAAGTCTCCCGCGGGCACCGCGGCCCAGGGGAGTGACCGCCAGCTGCCCATCTGCCTTTCAGACCCTGAACTTGACAAGTCCCAGGACTTTTCGGGATCTTTCGAAGCCCATGGGAGCCCAGACCAAGGAAAGAAAGCTGAAGTTTATCCAGAGGTTTAGAGAAGTCGAGAAGACTGAAGGTGAGTGGATTGAGTTGGGTATTTTCTGCAAAGCTCTTCATCTGAATGCTTTCAATTGGCAGCACTGTTTACATAGCTAAGATCTGGGAGCAGCCCGTGTCCATCAGCAGACGAATGGATAAGAAAGCTGTGGTACATGTACACAATGGAGTACTATGCAGCTGTAAGAAAGAAAGATCTCTTATCCTTTGAGACGACATGGAGGGACCTGGAAAGTATTATCCTAAGCGAAATAAGCCAGTCAGAGAAAGACAAATATCACATGATCTCACTTATTTGTGGAATATAATGAACATAACAGTCTGAGGAATGGGGTAGTCCCAGAGATGTGGAAGTGGGGTACAGACTGACAATCTCTAGAAGAGGGGACAGGGGGGAGAGAGAAACTACAGAACTTATATGCATGTGTGCATGAACAATGGACATGGACAACAAGGCTGGGGACAGGGCAGAGAGGGAGGGGGAGGAGAGTGTCAAAAGGGAAAAAGGAGAAACATCTGTAACAAAAATAACAAAAATAAAAAGTGAAATGGTAACTGATAACGAGGCCATGACCTCGCCTGCAGATAATCCCACTCGCAGGGGGAATTCTCTAATCCAGCGGCCAACACGCTGGCGTGCGTATGAATCACCCAGAGAGCTTGTGAAAGCTACGCTGCTCGGCCCCATCTCTAGATCCTGATATGGAAGGTGTGTGTGCTGAGGGGCGGCAGGCCCAAGAAGCACTGTGCCAGGCGCTCATGCCCGTGCCCAGGGGCAGGAAAGGCAGGGAAGGAACCTCTGGCCAGAGCCTCCTGCGTCCCGGGCATGGCCCCTGCACCCACACGGCGAAGGTCCGTCTGTGCTGCGTCCCAGGCACGGCCCCTGCACCCACACGGCAAAGGTCCGTCTGTGCTGCGTCCCAGGCACGGCCCCCTGCACCCACACGGCCAAGGTCCGTCTGTGCTGCGTCCCAGGCACGGCCCCTGCACCCACACGGCGAAGGTCCGTTTCCAAAAGGACATTGAAACTCAGACTTCAAGCACCTCACTCAGGTCATGGCCTTTATTTTATCTTTTAAAATATGTTTTATTGATGTTTTTAGAGAGAGAGAGAGAAGCATCGATGTGAGAGACAAACATCGATTGGCCACCTCCTGCATGCCCCCCAGGAATCAAACCTGTGACCTCGTGGTGCAGGCTCAACGCTCAACCACTGAGCCACACTGGCTGGGCCAAGATCATGACCTTTATTTTATTTTTTTAGTTTGTTATTTTTTTATTAATTTATTTTTGTTACAGATGTTTCTCCTTTGTACCCCACTGACACCATGACCTTTAAATGCCGGAGCCCAGACGGCTCACGTGGGCATCGCCCTCACAAAGCTCCTGTTCCTGTGCCCCATGCTTTGTCACCTTCCTGTCTTCTTCAGGTCGATTCTCTTGCACTGTGAGGAATGTGTTTTAAAAGAAAGTTTCTATCATGCGTTTGACTTGGGCGGTGATGCAGCCGAGGATCTCGCAGGCGCTGTTCACCGGCGGTGGCCATCGGCCACAGGGAAGGACATCAGTGAGCGGAGCAGCGGGCCTCCCACAGTTCTCTCGGGGGGGCCTCCTGCCTGCTGCCTGTCCTGAGCACTGTGTGCTGAAGCCACAGCACGTGGGAAAGCCGCCCCCCGTGTCCTCTCGTTGCAGGGGACATGACCGTCCAGTGCCACTACTGCACACACTACTCCTCAGCCATCATCGTCGCCTCCTACCTGGTCCGGATGCCGCCCTTTACCCAGGCCTTCTGCTCCCTGCAGGTGAGCTTCCTGCTCCTCTAGACCCAGACACACAGACACACACACACACACAGACATGCACACAGACACACACACAGAGACACGCATAAAGACACGCACACAGACATGCATAGAGACACGCACACACACAGAGACATGCATAGAGATATGCACACAGACACACATAGAGACATGCACACAGACATACATAGAGACACACACATGCACACAGGCATGCATAGAGACATGCACACAGACACACACAGACATGCACACAGATACACATGCACACACAGACATGCATAGAGACATGCACACAGAGACACACACAGACATGCATAGAGACACGCACACAGACACACATGCACACACACAAGACATGCACACAGACACAGAGACACACACACATGCACACACACAGACATACACATAGACCTGCATAGAGACATGCACATAAAGACACACACACATGCACACACACACAGACATGCATAGAGACATGCACACAGACACGCATAGAGACAGACACACAGAGACACACACACAGACACACACACATGCACACACACAGACATGCACGCAGACACGCATAGAGACATGCACACAGACACACACAGACACACATAGAGACACGCACACCCACACACAGACATGCATAGAGACACACACACACACATGCACACACACACATACACACAGCCATATCTCACAGACCAAGGGCTGGGCTGGGACGAGGTGGGGGCCCACCCTGCTAGAAATGTGGTCCCCAGCTGTAGGTTCCCCCTGACTGGCCCCAGCACCCGGCTGGCCGGCAGGGGCAGGCTGCTCCTCCTCAGCTGCACCTGCACGGCTGTCCTACAGTCTTGCGAAAAGACCATCAAACGTAAGGGATGAGAGCTGGGGGAGGGGACTTGGACAAGCTCCGGGAGGCAAGGGAACGCAGGAAGCTTGAAGACTTCCTGCATGGTAGGCGGCCACATATAAAAACAGACACAGAGAAGAAAGAATGAAAAGCCCATCTTGTGACATCAGACTGGGTGAAGCTGTGTTACGTACACGCCGAGAGGTGTAGGACAAACACCGTACCTGAATGTCGGCCTGAAATAAACACCTAAACCAGAGAAAGAAACGAATCACCTTGCTCACCCATAAACCGACAGACCAACGTGCTACCTTAGAGTTGCCAGATTTTGCAAAAGTCGAAGCGCGGAGTGGCGAGGGACGGCTACATACTAAAAAACTGCTGTTTATCTGAAATGGAAAGGCAGCGTGGCCTCCAGCGGGTTACCTGGCCCCTGTGTCAGCTGGCAGAGAACAGTTTGCCTCTGGGCGGGCCGCGGTGTCCACCCCACGTGGACCTGCCGGGACGGGCCCCTCATGAGCACAGAGCAGATTCCTCCTCTCTCGTCCCCTTCGGGCCTCACTGGGACCCTGCTGCCCAGGTTCTCCAGGGCACAGCTCTTGACTGGGGGGCCATGGGGTTGCCCAGCTATAGCCAGCAGGCCTGGCCAGCTTCCCTGAGATCCAGCACATGCCCCCGTCTAGGGGCAGACCTGACTCGGGCCTGCAAAGGGTCCCCTGGAGAGGAGGGCGTGACCGCAGGGGGTGGCAGACCGTGGGGCGTGCCTGGGCTTGTTCCGACTGCACAGCTTCCCCGAAGTGGATGCACGGTGTCCCAGGACGTGTGTCTGGTCTACCTGCCCAGCAAGGTGCCTCTTTGTGGCCACTGATCTGAGCAAGTCAGGGCCAGCACTAAAGCCAGCTCCTGGGTCCTGGTGGGGATGGCTAGGCAAGGACAAGGCGCCTCCTCTGCTGGGCCAAAGCCTCCTGTCTCCTTCCGGGCTCAGCCTGCTGTCTCCTGGAAACCCACGCCGAAATGACAGTGTGCTGCCGAGCCTTTCTCGGGCAACCAGCATTTAAAGTAAGTTTGGTTTGGAGCTTGGGTCCCAGAATTGTCCCCTGTGCCAGGAATCCCATCCAGCTGTGCTCATTAATCCACCAGAAACCATGATCAGTGTCAATGATGACGGTGACACGTTCCATGACAGCTTTCCATGCAGGGGGTGCTGGAGCCCTGGGGCCCCCTGGCTCTGCAGTCTGATGCATCATGACCCACTTCTGTTGCTCGGGGCTGTCACATGAAGAGAGAGCAGAGTGAAATAGAAAGTGTCAGATCTGTATCCCAGCTCCGCCACCGGTAGACACAAAATCTTCTGTAAGTTACTTACCTCAGGGGATGGGGTGATTACGCACATCTCACCAGGCTGAGGTTGGATGACAAATTGTGGGTTAGGTCCCTCGCTCAGGCTGCACGCTGTGTAGTGACCGGTCATTGTTCGTTCCCTTCCCCTGCAGTCAGGGTAGGGCAGCCTCCCCTTGTTCCGGCTGGTCCCCTGTCCAAGCTCGTCCGGATGGTCTGCACTGTGCACAGCGCCTGCGACGGCGTGAGCCCCGAGACAGGTGTGCCGAGAATCCGGGTGACACCGGTTAAGGCCACGCTGAAGCTACTCACGACTAGTTTATCATGTTAGCCAGTCTGGTCCACTGGTGACCAGGCCAGACTGGTTTGAGGTGGTATAAACCAGCATTCGATGGTCAGTACATGCTTTCAGAGGGCCCGAGAGCATCCATGAGTTTGAGCTTTAGTCTTTCACGTTGGAGCCGACCTGTGGTGCACTGACGTCTGGGCGCCCTCGGCTCCCCACCTGCTCTCACCTGCTTTTAACTGCTGCTCTAGCGGCTCGTGCCGGGTCCGGGCCTTTGGAGCAGCATGGACCAACAGCCTCGTGCTGTTTTCTGTAGAATAAAAATCGAGTGTCAGCGCTCAAGGGAGCGGATGCACAGGCCACGTCTGGGGACGCGCCTGGCCCTCCTTTGAGAGTCCTGAGGACTGCACAGACCTCCGGAATGTTCTGGCATCTTCCTGAACTCCCAGGGGTCAGGCTCCAAGAGCCTCGCCCTTGTGTGGGGATAAAGAAGGAGCCTCTGTATTCTCAGCAGCTTGAAACTCCCAGTCCCAGTGTGGATCGTGGAGTGGGAGGAGGAAAGGAGGCCGGGGGTGCAGAATCTGGCACGGAGGGCTTCCTCTTTCCCCGGGGAGCGGGGGAGCGAGGGTGTGGGTGGTTCTAGAGCCCGTGCTCCTGTGAGGTCAGCTAAGAGAGTGCACACCTTTCCTTCCGCCTGAGCAGGCTCTGCCCCGTGCCTGTTCTCATGCGTGAGCCCGTGTCCCTGCAGGACGGCGGGCGTGGAAGTACTTCAGTGGGGGGAGCTGTGTGCCTCTGAGGTGCACCCAGTGTGGGCAGACACTGGAGAGGCGGGGACAGTGTTCTCTGGCACCCTGCAGGGAGCTGTGGCTGCACCTGGGCCTCACGCAGCCTGTGGATCGCAGGGGGATGTGTTCTGACACCCCTTCACGCTGCATCTCACCGCACCTGCGCAGTCTTACAGTGCACGCGTGGCTCTTCCTCTGCCGTGTGTCTTTCTGCCCCAAACCAGTAATTGCCACGACAGACGCTTAGTTAGAAAACACGGTCGTGTGCAGTGTGAGCTGAGCAGTGATGCAGGCAGGCAGCGTGGCACCGACTGGTCAGCTGTGTGCGCCGCTGTCCCCTTGCCCTTGGAGGGAGGAGGTGGCTGCTGAAGCCTGGAGGCTGTAAATCTAAGAACCTCGCCTGCCTGAGGACCCGGTGTCTGAGCACGGGGGCCAGGCTGCTGGGGCCACAGCCCAGGTCCGTCTGGGCCCAGAGAGCACCAGGTGCTCCCAGGCCTGCGCCAGCCTCAGCCTGGGCGGGCAGAGCGCGCAGCAGAGCCCAGCACAGTGGACGTGGTGCTGCTGCATTTAATAAGCAGCCAGTCAAGTGCTGTGCTGATTAAGTCACAGGCTGCGTGAAGTCAGCTGTGACAGCGGGGAAGGGTTATCCGCACCGCCTGAGGGGACAGGGCTGGTTTTCTGACACAGGCCAGCTGCAGAGAGCTGAGAGCCTGGGCAGGCCGGCCCAGGCTGTGTCCGGGTCCGGGCGGAGCTGCGTCGAAAATAAAGGTGTGACCATTATTACACTGACTCCACCAGGGGTACTAGGAAGGGCACATGGAACAGAGCCCGGCGATCAAGGACCCGGCCCTGGCTCTGGAACTTTCTGACTGGTCCAGTGTTGAGAAGCTGAGCCTCTGGTTCCTGGGCTCGCGGGGTGAGGGTGGAGACGGGGCATGAGGGTTCGCGGCCGCTCCTGAGCGCCAGCCTGTCCCCCCAAAGGAAGGCAGCGTGTTCTTCAGATGCCTGTGCGGGTCTCTGCTGAGTAAAGGCCCTGCCGACAGGAAGGAAAGCTAATGTCTGCTCCGGGGTCAGCCCGCACCGGGCAAGGCCGGACTGCCGAGCCAGCGGGACGGGTCCCTGGCCCTGAACGGGGCCTGGGCCTGGGCTCCGAGCCTCCGGAGTGGGTGCTGGGGCCGGCGTTTCTCCGGGAAGCTGATGGAGAGCCCCGGCCAACTCCGCTGCGAAAGCACCAAGGGTGCGGAGCTCTTCCTCGCCTGCGCCCGCCTCTCCATCCCCAAGGCCGCTGCCCAGCGACTGAACCCCTCCTCGCTGAGCCTCGGCTCAGGCCCTCGGGTGCTCCCCACCCCCTGGGGGGAGGGGCGTCGGCCGGGCTCCTTCCACGCCTCTCCCTGTGAACCTGGCACCACAGGGGCACATCGCACACGGGCACACCCGCACTCACGACAGTGCCCCGCTGTGCAGAGGAGGCCAAGGAGGCGAAGTTCACAGTTGTTATTATAATATTATAATTATACTGTAGTGGCTACAATTCCCACCCAGGTGGCTCGGTTCCAAAACCGGGGGCTTCCACCACACGCCGCCTCTTGGAGGGACAAAGGACAGTGGCTGAGGTCGGCTGCCCACAGGGTCCCGTCAGTGAATGGCTGACAAGGGCACTGCAGTGACTAGGAGAGTGTCCATCGAGAGAAGGGCTGTCAGCCTGCTCCTGCACCAGTCCCCACGTGCGTGCCCTGGGCTGGGCTGGTCAGTGCCACCTGGAGGAAGAGGAGACTTCCCAGCACATGGCCGGAATGCCTGTGGGCGTGTCCTTGAGCACAGGCAGCACTGACCCTCCCGGGCGTGGGTGGGGAACGGACGTGTTCTTTAGTGCAGTTGTCCTACCGCGTTGGGCTGGGGCTGGAGGACATCAGGGTGGGAGCTCACCCAGGGATACAACACAGGCTGCGTCCTCGCACAGAGCGGCGCCGGGGACAGACTCCCTGCAAGGGGTTGGCTGCCCCATCAACGTGCCACACTGTGGGATTCCCTCTGACTTCATCCTGTGCTACGCTCAGCAGCAGCCTTGTCCATCTTCCGTCTTCTGTCGCTTTGCATTCTGATTCATCTCCGCAAAACTGAGCGCCTCTCAAAGTCTTTTAATTGAGGAAGGATATCTTAGGGATATTTTCTTTTTTAAAATTTAATTTATTGGGGTGACATTGGTTAATAAAATGTTATAGGTTTCAGGTGTACCGTTCTATAATACATCATCTGTATATTGCATTGTGTGTTCATACCAGTCAGGTCTCCTTCCATCACCATTTATTCCCACTTTATCCTCTTCTACCTCCCCCACCTCCTTTCCTCTGGAAATTACCACTGTTGTCTGTGTTTATGACTTTTTTATTTGCCTAATCCCTTTACCTTTTCGCCCAAACCTCTAATCCCCCTCCCTTCTGACAGCTGTCAGTCTGTTCTCTGTGGGTTGTTAGTTTATTTTTTCATTAGATTCCACATAGAAGTGAGATCATATGGTATATGTCTTTCTCTGCTTGGCTTGTTTCACTTAGCATGATGTTCTCCAGGTCCCTCCATGCTGTTGCAGAGGGTAAGAGTCCCTTCTTTCTCACAGCTGCATAGTACTCCATTGAGTACATGTACCACAGCTTTTTATCCACTCATCTGCTGATGGGCACTTGGGCTGCTTCCAAGTCTTTGCTATTGTAAATAGTGCTGCTATGAACATAGGGGTGCATATATTCTTTTGAATCAGTGTTTCAAGTTTCTTCAGATAGATTCCCAGAAGTAGAATCACTGGGTCATAATGTAGTCCCACTTTTTATTTTTTGAGGTAATTCCATACCGTTTTCCACAGTGGCTGCACCAGACTGCATTCCCACCAACAGTGCACGAGGGTCCCCTTTTCTCCACATTCTTGTCAACACTTGTTGTTGATTGATTTATTGATGATAATCATTCTGATGGGTGCGAGGTGATATCTCATTGTGCTTTAATTTGTATCTCTCTGATGATTCGCAGTGTTGAGCATCTTTTCATATGTCTATTGGCCATCTGTATGTTGTCTCTGGAAAAGTGTCTATTCTGGTCCTTTGCTAATTTTTAATTGGATTTTTCGAAGTTGAGTTTTATAAATTCTTTGTAAATTTTGGATATTAACCCCTTATCAGATATATCATTGGCAAATATGTTCTCCTATTCAGTGGGTTGTCTTTTCATTTTGTTGTGCAAAAACATTTTAGTTTGATGTAGTCCCATTTATTTACTTTTTCTTTTGTTTCCCTTGTCCGAGGTGATATATCAGAAAAAATATTGCTACAAGAAAAGTCTGAGATTTTGCTGCCTGTTTTCTTCTAGGGTTTTTACGGTTTTGAATCATTTAAGTTTTTAATCCATTCTGAGTTTATTCTCATGTATGGTATAAGAAGAGGACCTAGCCTGAGCCCTTAAATATTCCAAGTATCTTTCTGGAGTCTTTACGTACGAGCGAGTCTCAGCCAGGTGGACATTCACCGGAGACTGGACCGTGGTCTCCGCAGCCCCAGCCTGGGCTCCTTTGTCTTCTCTTGTCTGGGGAAAGGCTGCTGCTCGGAACAGGTTGTTGCTTTGTCGATAAGAATAATCTTGCTCTTATTTTTTGGTCTGTTAGATACACATAGTTTTATTCTTTTCGTTTTTGTTGTTATTAGTCCTCATCCAAGCATACTTTCCCATTGACTTTAAAATAGACAGGAAGGGAGGGAGGGAGAGAGAGATCGATGTGAGAGAGGCACATCGATTGGTTGCTTCCTGCATGACCCCAACCAGGGCCAGGGGTGGAACCTGCAACCCTGGTAGGTGGTGTTGATTGGAAATCGGACCCGAGGCCCTTCGGTCTGTGGGCCATGCTGTGACCACTGAGCCAACCGGCCCAGGGTGGCTCTGTTCTTCTTGCTCAGTAGTATCTGTAGAATGGCTTTAGGGGCAGACTTCGGTTCAGTAGTCCTCTGATCGCTTTGTCTCCAGCAGATCTCCAGACCGAATTGTGTTGCTTTGTTTCGTCCCGAGTACTGGCCTCCTGAAGCCCTGAGACCGTGGTCTCTCCTGTGCCTCACTCCTCGTCCCCCTTTTCTTCTACCTTCTCTTCCTTTTTTCCTTCCTTTCCTGAGAGTCAAGTCCTGGTGGGGACGCCCTGCTGGCAGCCACCGGGGTTCGTGTGAGCCAGACTCACGGTACCCGGGACCGGCAGCTCCCTTGTCTCCCAGGGAGCTGGCGTTGCCTTTGTATTGCAGAAGCGAGAAAACCCATTAATTTTGAAACAAATGTATGCAAATACATTTATTAATATAGGAAATAGGAAAATCTGTTATTGCTTCCTTTATAAATAATACAGGCTTAAGTTTTAAAGATATTACTTTTGCTAAAATGCATTAGGCAGCCGGGGAAAAATAACATTTTTCTTTGTGGTAATATCTTTAACCAGATTTGTGGCACTAACAATATTTCCTATGTATATATTATTTTTATTTAATACAGGTAATCTTTTTATTACCAAATCACATTGTTTCTCGGGAGGTTGCCATCAGCACTCATAACAGCTGCAAAAGGAAAAGGGCCGAGGAGGCCGGGCTCCCGCGGACCGAGCGGGACCGAGGCTGCAGATCAGACGCGCAGAGCTCTCAAGCCGCTTCAAGGAGCGACTCGTCGGGTGTGGGTCTGTCTGAAAGCACTGTCCCCCACTTGGCTTCCATTTCGATTCGAATCAAGTGGTGGCTTGGCTGCCTTCCTCTCATTTCAACCCAAAGCAAAGTGACCTTGGGTAAAATCCACATCTCCAAGCTGCCCGCCTGTCTGGTCGGAACGCCAGGGGCAGCTGGGTCTCGGTGCCCCGTGGACCTCACCGGATCCTCAGGTCTGACTTGAAAAATTGACCAGCAGCCACAGTGCCCAGGTGTGGCTGCCTCAGTTGTGTGGCACCGGAGTCCCCTTGGCCCACATATGAGAGAGCGAGTTTGCTGGGCCCAGGGGTTCCCCCAGGAAACTGCACCAGGCAAAGCGTGGTCTTCGGAGTGGCAGCCCTAGGTCTGACCCAGTCTGCCACTCACGGCTTTGCCAGTAGACTCGGAGGCGCCTGTGTGCTGGTCTGCAGGATGGATTCTCTCCCTGCGCACCTGCTGCGGGCACTGGGCGCATCTGTGTGACATGGGGACACAGCGCAGACTCGCCAAGAGGAGGCACGTGCCTTCTTCACCCGCCACCCACATACAGGTTCCCAAGGTTTACTTAGGTGTACAGGGTGGGGACATGAGGTTACAGTTGTTCGCATAGAAAATAATACAAGAATTAATAAATAATACAAGAATAAACTCTGTAAACCTGCTTTGTCCCACCCTGTACACTGACAGGAAACCTCCAGTCGCTGACAAGTGAGGGAGCTGCAGGGGCGAAGGGGCCAGCTCTCTGGCCTCCTTCCCTGTTCTTGGAGCACGCGTGCCCGCTGCCAACGCTGATGGCGGGGAGGCGAGTCCTGGCTCAGCAAGGCCCAGCCTCCCTGGGCACAGCAATTGCATGCCAGGCAGGAAGGTTCTCCCGGGGTCCCCACACTGAAACAGACCCAAGCCCAGTTTCAGAAACCCTTCCCGGAGCCGGAGCCGTCTGCCCCCTCATCTTCATTCCTCCACCAGGACCTCTGCCTCTTCCGATCTGCAAGACCACTTGAAACGAGAGGAGCAGGGACTTGAAAGTTTGCCCTAAGTCTGACCTGGTGGGGTTGCAGCTGCCCAGCTCAGGGTGGCATGGAGCCACCTGTGAAAGGTCCCGGGGACCAAGGTGCCCTTGGCTGGCCCGCAGACGGCGCGTCTTCAGACACCAACAGCCCATCCCCCGAAGGCCGGGCTGCCTCCAGCTCCCCCTCCTCAGACCTGCTCTCTCTTCTCCTGTCACCTCTGCCCTCTGCTTGGAGCATCGCCATCCCCCTCTCCAGGCGTGGACCCACCAGGGGCCACTTCTCTAGGACACCAACCCTGACCCACGCGAAATGCCTGAGCCATTCTGGGCCGTAGTGGGTTCTTTGGATCCTGTCTTTGTGCCCGATTCGGAGCTGGCTCTCCGCACACGCAGGTGTAATCAGACAGATGACATGGTTTTCCTGTCCGTCTGGTCCCTTTACCAGTTATTTACGCGTCCTCTGTGGAAGGCCCCCGGCCACTGTCCAGGGAGCGGCTGAGGGTGCACGGGGAGGAAACCATCACGCGCACTGACGGTCGAAGGAGCACGTGTCTGGGGACGAGTGGAGTTCTGATGGCAGAACCTGTGTCTCGGCGACAGAGCAGACAGGTGGAGGCCACACAGCCCGGGTTCTCCGCGTGCGGCTCACGGTGCCTCCCTTTCCTGTGCAGGGTGGGAGCTTCGACGTGGCCGACAGGATGTTCCACAGTGTGAAGAACGCGTGGGAGTCGGCCTCCAGGGAGAACATGAGTGACGTCAGGGAGCTGACCCCCGAGTTCTTCTACCTGCCCGAGTTCCTGACCAACTGCAACGCCGTGGAGTTCGGTGAGTGGCGCCTGGGTGAGGAGGGTGGGCTCTCTCCCACCCTTTAGGACCAACTGTCTGTGCCTTTGCTGAGCAACTGGAGTTACACCTCACCAGACCCGTGCAGTTCGCAAGCGGCCCCCACTGGGTGGCAGCACCCAGCGAAAAGGTGGGAGCTGAGGAAGGAGCCATGGCCCCACCCAGGGCCCTCCCGGGCCTCCCTCTGCAGGGAGGGGCTGCAGGGAACAGCGGTCCTTGCTAATTGCTGGGTTTGGCACTGCCCTGCTGTGTGACCTTGGGCAAGCCCCTGACCATCTCTGGCCCCGTTTTCCGCCATGTCCCACCAATGGATTAACTTGGACTCTGTGAGACAGAAATGCTGTGTCTCTCAGGACAGGTTGCTGGGTGGCATCTGAGGGCAGTTGTATGGGCACCCTGGTGGCGCCTCCTCTTTCTTCAGGCTCCACCCCAGGATGAACCCACTGCTGAGGCAGGCCCAGCGGGCAGGTCCCCTGGCGACCGTGTGTACCTCGGCCGTCTCCACAGCAGGTGTCCGGTGACTCGTGGGGGGTGTGGTCAGCGCCTGGAGCAGGGCAAGGCTGGTCTCCACCCAGGACACAGAGCTGGACTCAGCCCCCTGCGAAGGACACGCGTGAAGTGTCACCGCACAGAGCCGGGGCCCCAGAGCTCCCCTTCCTCGTGCCCTCCTCCTGAACTGCACCTTCAGTCAAGCACTGCGCGCCAGGCCAGGGGCAGGCCTAGGGCCACAGAGGAGATGAGCCAGCCACTGCCCAGGCTCACCTCCTGTCTGCTTTGAGCCGCAACACCTGCGGAGCATGTGCAGCATGCTCGTTCCCAGGCCTGCGGCCAGGAGTTTGATCCCATGGGACTTGGCCTTGGCCATGTTCAGGTTCTCAGATATTCACATGTGTCAGGAATGAGAGTGGACAAATGCAACATCCCCATGAGGCATGGAGGGCTCCGAGAAAGGAATCAAGCGGCCAGGGACGGTGGCAGCCAAGAGGGAGTGGCAAGCCAGCCTGGTGTGAGGGGAATGCGGGGGAAGAGAGCCCACGGCCTTGGAAAGGAGGGCGAGCTCTGCATCAAAGTGGGAGGGGCTTAGCTGCAGAAATGAGCTCCTGCCAAAGGTCAGGTGTCCTTGGAGTCAGAGCACCTGATCGATGCAGGAACCTTGCAGGCACTGGGGATTTCGTGGGGTCTCCCGGAACAGGGTGCCCGGGAGGTGTTTATATTCTGTGCAGAAATGCGGGGAGGGGATGGAAAATATACACAAATAAATAAATGAAATACTCTTTGCACTGAGAAGGTAGGAAGGAGGTTCGAGAGTGTCTCAGAAGGCCCTCCTATTCTGGCCCCCAGGAAGGACCTGCCTGGTGGCAGATGAGCTGAGACTGACCGATGAGAAGAGCCAGGCGGGGCACAGCCCTGGAGCCACAGAGAGGGCGGCAAGGTCTTATTCCAGTTACTCCATGAAGGCTCTGGAGGGTTTAAGCAGGACTAGAGCTGACGTTCATTGAGCAGCCCTTCTGAGCCTGGAATTATTCTAAGCACGTTACATGCATTTTCTCCTTTAACCCCTATGGTGGCCCTGGGCGGTAACAAGTGAGGAGAGTGACTCAAAGCCATTAAGCAGCTCGCTCAAGGTCACGCAGCTAATGGGGGGAAGAGAGCCGCGGGCTTGCATCCAGCCTCCCGTTCTTAATGTCTGGGGAAGCTTCGTCATAAAACCAAGTCATCCTCTTTAAACACGGAGAGAAAATGCATCAGTTATAGGGCTGAATGAAGATTCACTAAGTCTGCGTGTGCCAAGCACCTAGCACAGTGACCTGGCGTGGAGTTAGGTGCTCCAGCTACGACAGCTTTTACCACGGCTGTGCTCTGTCCTGCGGCAGCTCTGCGGGAAGGCACCGGACGAGGATGCGCGGAGCTGGGACAGCGGGAGTGAGGCAGTGACCCGGCAGTCCTGTCACAGCTGCACATCAGGCGGACACTGTCTGGGGCACGGATGGCTTTGTGCAGGGGCCAGTGGCGTAGAGGGTTAGAGTCTGGGGGCATTCGAGACAGGAGGCAGGAAGCAGAGTGGCCTTTATGGACACAGCCCACAGCCTGGTCTGCACAGAATCAGCATTTCTAGACAGCGCAGTGTGACACCCCCTGAGTCCTAGTCCCGTGTGCTCTGCCATTTACCCAAAGCCCTCTGTGTCTCACCCCACTCAGGCTGCATGCAGGACGGGACAGCACTGGGGGACGTGCAGCTCCCACCCTGGGCTGATGGGGACCCTGGAAAATTCATCAGCCTGCACAGACAGGTGAGTTGAGGAGGGTCATGACAAAGTGCCTGGGATCCTGAGTGAAGCCCTCAGCATCCCCTCAGTCTGCAGGGAGACTTTCTGTGTCATTGGAGGGCTAGCAACAGGCACTTCTGAGGTGCTCATGTCTGGGCTGCATGCCCCGGGTTGGCAAGAAGATGCTTGGGTTCTGGGCCCTTTCAAGAGTTCCATTAGGCTTTGTCCTTGTGCCAGTTTTCTGTGGGGATCACTTGGGGAAGCAAATTCAGATTCTCGTTGGAAGCCTGGAGGGCAAGTCAGTGTCTTAGTCGGCCCTACAGGAAGGCCACACCCTGGGCCATACTTCCCAGTATAGGTCAGAGAGGGTCTGGAGGTCCCTACAGGTCCCCACTGGCCAGAGGATTTACCAGGACTAGGGAAGACTTGGCTTTTTACCCAGAAAGGCTGATGCAGGTGGAGATCAATACCCTTTTGGGACACATATGCTGGGTTAGCATAAACATGAGAAATGGTCACCCTCACTGGTCCTCTGGGAAACATGCATTAAGCTACAGTGCGGTGCTGCTACACACTCACAAGAATGGCTCAAATGTAAACACTGGTAAGACCAAGAGTGAGCAAGAACACATAGCAACCAGAATCCATGATACATTGCTGGCAGAAAAAGCAAAATCATACAGCCACTTCGAAAAAGACTTGGTTGTTTCTTATAAAGTGGAAGATGCAGTTACTGCATCACCCAGCAGTTTCACGTGTGATTGTTTGCCCAAGAGAGAGGAAAACATGTCCAGAGAAAGTGTGTGCATAAGAACTCATCCCTTTTATTTGTTCTAGTCAAACACTGAAAATGACTAAATGTTTATCAACTGGTAAAGGATAAACAAATAATACACACAGTGGAATTGTATTCAACAATAAAATGGGACAGATTATTAATGCAAACTTTCCAGAATTCTGGAAATTAACCAAGGGCTTGTAACAATCAGAGAAATGTTCCTTCAAGAAAAATGGCTGAATCTTGGTAAGATTTGTGGTGTATTTTACACTATTTCCATTTTTCCTCTCCAGCTCCATAATAGCCTTGAAAGCCAACAGCCTAGCAGTCATTGGAGGGGGAAGAATAGAGTTAGAGCTTCTTCAGAGATCAATACCCAAAGAACTGTCACTGTTGACCTGGGGGGTGGTTCCCTGAAAGACCCCACTTGGAGCCTGCCCAGGGCAAACAACCTTTTCTTCAGTGGCATTTGTCAAAACAACAACAACAAACAAACAAACAAAAAACAGAAACAATGAGCACTGTGGCTGCTAGAGGCAGTAGACAGTAATTGGCAAACAATATTGTGGATAACTATGAATCTTAAAAGAAAAAACTGGGCAATGAAATGTTTATAGGAGGCCTTGAAAAACTTAAAAATATCCCTGGGGACCTAGAAGGACACACATCTAAAGGGCTGTTTTCATACACAAGCCTGTGCTCATGCTCAAGAAAGACCAGAAAAGCCCCAAGTTCTCACTTCTGGCTGACACTGAGGCTCAGTGCGAGTAGGATTTGAAGATGAAGGCAATTTTCAATTGCCCGGCTGAACATCGAAACCATGCTCTAATATGCACATAGAGGCCCTTGGCAAAGACTGAGAGACTTACTGGTTTCAATCATTTAAAGAAATCTACATCCACTTACTACCTGACCATTAAGCTAACAGAGCAGAGACTTCAGTGGCCACACACAACAAAAAATACAGACTTCATAACTTTATAGAACTAGTTCAGAAAAGTTACTAAACAGCCACAACAAATCCTGGGAAGAGGGGAGAGTCTGATTTCCAGAATTTCCATATCATATTATTAAAATGCTCAATGTTACATAAAAATTATAAGGCATTCAAAGTAAAAGGTAGTATGGACCATGCGAAAGGGGGACAAAAAGCAGTCGAGCCCTGGCCGGTTTGGCTCAGCGGTTAGAGCGTCGGCCTGCTGTCCGGAGAGACCCGGGTTCGGTTCCCGCTAAGGGCATGTACCTTGGTTGCAGTTTGTCCCCGGCCCTGGTTGGTTGTGCGGGTGGCAGCCACTCGATGTGTTCCTTTCACATCGATGTTTCTCTCTCTCTGTGTTCCTCTCTCTCCCTCCCACTCTACCTGAACAAAAAAAATGGAAAAATGTCCTCGGGTGAGGATAAAAAAAAACAAAAAAACAAAAAGCAGTCGATAAAACTCTACCTGAGAAAGCCCAAACCTACTAGACAAAGACTTTACATCAGCTATTCCAAGAACTAACTGAAACATTTCTAAAGAACTAAAGAGCAGTACGATAATTATGTCCCACCAATAGAGAATATCAATAAATAAAGAGATAAAAATTACAGAAAGGAGCCAAATAGAAATTGTGAAGTTTAAAAGTACAGTAACTAACATGACAGCTTCAGTGGAGGAAATTAATAGCAGGTTTGAGCAGGCAGAAGAGAGAATCAGCAAACCTGACAGATAAATCAATTGAGAATATCAAGTCTAAGAACAAAATTATTGAAGAAAAGTAAACAGAGCCTGGAGACCTGTATGACACCAGCAAGCAGACCAGCGTACACATAAGGAAGCACCAAAAGGAAGCACCAAAAAGAAAGAGAAAGGAACAAAAAGAATAATGTCCAAAATCATCCCAAATTTGATACAAAGCATTACTTTATACAGCCAAGACACTCAAGAAAATCCAAGAAAGATAAACTCAAAGAGATCCACACTCAGACACCACATAAAATGTCAAAAGATAAAGTCAAGGGATCCAAGCTTGTGATGAGTGAGTGGAAGTTAGAGTTACTTCCTCCCAGGACCAAATTGGAATTAGTTACATTATAAAACAGTCTGAATAGCCAACTACAGACTAGCTGAAGAGAAGTCTTATAACTGAAGATATACAAACGAAGCTACATCAAAACTGGTAGAAAGGGCAGAGGCATGAGAAGGGCTGACCCCACACCTACATGCAGCAGTTGAGAATCTGGAAGGATATCTCAGCTACAGAGGTGCCCCCTGAGAAGCAAGGGGTCTCCGTCCCATGCAGAGCTCCCTAGTTCAAAATACCGGTGCTAGAAAGAAAAGGCCACATAGCATCCGGCTCTGAAAATCGGTGAGGATTCTGTCTGCAAGGGTAAGACAGAGACTGCTAGAAATCTCGGCACCCTTTTGTAGGCTAGCCCACAAAATTGTGTTTGCAGGCACCATCCTGGGCTCCAGCCTGGGGAGGGCAGCTCAGACCAGACTGGCAGCATACAGGAGAGAAGGCGTAGTGAGGCTTCAGAGAAAGAGCTGAGGAGCCACCACCAGTGTCCCTGTGCTGAGTCCCTCTCCTCCACTGCTCACAGACACCATCAGCCCTGGGTTGAAAACTCCCCTCTGTGTAAAGTCAGTGCAGGGACATGCACTAGCCCTGCCATGTTGACTGCCAGTGGCCTGCCCTGCCAACTTGTGCCCTGTGGAGGAATCACCTAGCTGCAGCCAGGCTGGGTCCACTACAGTCTTTCTTGGAAGGCTGTTGAGGAGGTCCAGACAGACTCAGGGGCTGTCAGAGACACACAGGGAGAGACTACGTGGACGGGCCGAGGGCAGGGGTGTTTTCCCCAGTGTTCCCAACTGGCACGATGCCCCCACCCCACTGGCCTGGGGTGATGCACCAGCAAAATATTAGAAAACTGAAGTCAGAAATATATTAAAATGATTATACACCATGATCAAGTGGTATTTATTCATGGGATCCAACGTTTCAATATCACAAATCAATTAAAGTGATACATACATAAACAAAATGAAGACTGAAAATTATGTGATCATGTCAGTCGGTGGAGAAAAAGCATTTGACAAAACTCAGCATCTATGTATGATAAAAACTCTCAGCAAAGTAGGAATAGAGGGATCATATCTCAACTAATGAAGGCTAAATACGACAGACCCAGAGCCAGCATTATACTCAATGGGCAAAACTACAAGCATTTTCCTTAAGATCGGGAACGAGACAGGGATGTCGGCTTTCACAACTCTTATTCAGCATAGTTCTGGAAGTCCTAGCCACAGCAGTCAGAAAACATAAAGGAGTAAAACGCATCCAAATTTGAAATGAAGAAATAAAACTGTCATTATTTGCAGATGACACAGTATTGTATATAGAGAACCTTAAAGATTCCACCAAAAAATTACTGGACCAGATAAATGAATTCAGTAAAGTAGCAGGATATAAAATAAATATCCAGAAATCAGTTGCATTTTTATACACCAATAATAAGCTATCAGAAAGGGAAACTAAAAAAAAAAAATTTTATTCAGAATTGTTTCAAAAAGAAAATACCTAGGAATAAATTTAACTAAGTATTTTATAAAAGACCTGTACTTAGAAAATTATAAGACACTGAAGAAAGAAATTGAGGAAGATACAAATAAATGGATACTTGGAATATTGGGGGAACCCCTTTGTAAAATATATGATTGTCTAACCAATATATAGTACACATGAAAGTAATACAAAATAATATTAAATGTAAACTAATTTAAAAAATAAAATTTAGCCCTGGCCAGTTTTCTCAGCGGTTAGAGCGTTGGCCTGAGATCCAGAGAGACCCGGGCTTGGTTCCCGCTAAGGGGCACGTACCTTGGTTGCAGTTTTTCCCCGGCCGTAGTTGGGTCGCATGGGTGGCAGCCACTCGATGTGTCCCTTTCACATCAATGTTTCTCTCTCTCTCTCCCTCTCTCTCCCTCCCACCCTCTCTGAACAAAAAAAAGGAAAGGTGTCCTCGGGTGAGGATAAAAAAATAAATATTTAAATAAATAATAAAATTTAAAAGAGATAAAGTCAAAAGAAAAATTTTGAAAGCAACAAGAGAGAAGCAAGTCTTCACCCACAATTTACTTTCAGTAAGATTAACAGTTAATATTTTATCAGAAACCAGAGTTCAGAAGGCAGTGGTATGACATAGTCAAAGTGCTAAAAAAATGTCAACAATAAATTCTATATCCAGCAAAAACGTTCTTCAGAACTGAAAGAAAAATGTATTGACATTCCCAGATAAATGGAGAATTTATCACTAGCAGACCTGCTTTGTAAGAAATATTAGAGGGGGTTATTTTTCCTGAAATAAAAGGGCACTAAGCAATACCTCAAAGGAAGTTGATGATGCTAAGGAAATGGATGGTGGGGATGGGCAACAAAAAGTCTGGTTTTGAAGGAGAGAATGAAGAGAGAATCCCACCTGGATGAGATGAGAGTTTAAGGGAATGTTAAGGCTTTATATTTAAATTTTTAATAAGTATGTTTAAGAAACAGTAGGAAAGAAATGTTAAATGTAAAAGAATAATTAACAAAGTGAGAGAGCAGAAGGATTTGGAATTCAAATCAAGGGGAGAGGGTCAGCGTTATGTAAGAGGTGGGGCAGCTTCCCGGCTGAACAGGAAGGAGGGGAGTCGGCAGGTGGCAGCTGAGGGCAGATTGATCTATTGTCAGGAAGACGTGGGGGTCCCTAACTGGCTTCTGTTTTTCTCTGTACGGTAGGAGGTTTGTTACCTGCTGAAACTGAACAGAGTGTGCGGGTCAGAAGAGGGAGAGCGGGCAAGGTGAAGCAGTCGCGTGGCACTACAAGCACGAGTTGACCAGAGAAACATGTCTGGGTCATCGGCAGTGCTCAGTGTTCATTCGAGACTGGTCACCAAAAGTTATAGGAGGATCAGTTTGCCCCTTGTGTGGTGTTCTTCAGACACTCTGGTGTGGGCACCGGGACAGAAAATATCTGAATTTACTTAGCGTGCTTTGAACAGACAGAAGACACACGGTTCAGAGACATAACGAGATATTGGCCATAGTGTGATTGAAAGGTTGGTCCACTAGGTTTGAGCTGGATGAAGATGCAGCTAAAGACTGGAGAGTGTTGGTAGATTAACAACTAAAATGAGTGGAGTGGCAAGCGGCTGCATGTGCTGATAAGGCGAAGAAAACTTTAGGACGTTGTTAAACAGCAAGAAAGGTGAGGATGGCCCTGGCCGGTTTGGCTCAGCGGTTAGAGCATCCGCCTGCGGTCCGGAGAGACCCGGGTTCGGTTCCCACTAAGGGCATGTACCTCGGTTGCAGTTTGTCCCTGGCCCTGGTTGGTCATGCGGGTGGCAGCCACTCGATGTGTCCCTTTCATGTCGATGTTTCCCTCTCTCTCTCTCTCTTCCTCTCTCTCCCTCCCACTCTGTGCAAAAAATGGAAAAATGTCCTCAGGTGAGGATAAAAAAAAAGAAAGGTGAGGATGTGGCTTTCACCCGCTGGGATGTTTGAATCTGATTCTGCAGACAGAGTGGTTACCGGTGGGTTAAGGCGTGTCTGCGGGAGTGGGCGACTACGTCGAGTGGAGGTGAAGGTCACTGGAGAAGTGAAGCTTAAGGAGCTCAGGGGTGAGAGACTGAAATCCCTAAGAATGATGCCAGGTCCTGGGCTCTGCTCAGCAGCAGCAGGTGTCACCTCTCACGTGACCTGGGACCTCCAAACGGCGCCACCTTTCCTCTTGCTTGTGTGCGGCAGCCACTGAGGAACACTGCCACCCGGGTCCCCTGAGCTGAGCCAGCACCACCCATCTGGGCGGTACCCATGGCGGACGGAGCGTGCTCGGGCTCTGTGCTGAATCCTCCGTTCCCTGCAGGTGCCGCCTGCAGCTAGAGGCAGAAGCTGCTGGCTTCCTGCAGGCGCTGTGCTCCTGAGCGCGGTGAATAGAGGGCCCGCTTAGAGGCTACAAGCTTAGGGAAAGGTTCTGTGGCTGAGTCTGGGACATCTCCTGCCCTCCTACTTGGGACGAGAGCCTGCACATGGACACTGTGTCCCTCAAGGCCATCACACTTGCCCCTGAGGCGCGAGGATGACCTGTTCTTGCCCACTGCATGCCCTGGTCTGGACAGAGGTGCCTCAATCAGGGAAGCTCACGTTCCCGGGACCGAACTGCCCCTCAGAGGCAGATGCTGCCTTTCCCTCCCGGGAAAGACAGACAGGGCCCCAGATCCGTGTCCAGTACTGTCTGCGTACTTGAGTGAAGTGAGGCCTGCCATCGAGGTTGGATGTCCCCAGTGGAGCTCTGAGCCTGGGAGTGGGGCTGGGACAGGAGTTTCAGAAAACACATGAGTCTGCCCCAGAAGTGGGGTAATGATTCCTGCCAGCAAAAGGTGGTGCCAATGGGCAGAGACAACATACAGAAAACCCCATGCCACGCCAGGTGACTAGTGGGTGCTCAGGGTGATCATGGTAGCTGAAACCACACGGAGATCACTGTGCACAGGCATGAACACAACCGGGCTGCACACAGACCCACAGGGAAGGTACAGTTGTCCCTATTTTGCTGATGAAGAGCAGGAGCAGGGATGCTAAGGAACATGAGTGGCAGTGTTGGGGTCCAGCGCTCTCCAGAGCATGTTCTCCTAGCCGCGACATTTAGTCCCAGCCTCTCAACGTCCTCTGGCCAGTCAGCTGACCCTTCCTCCTGGGCCAGCTCTCAGCAGGGCCCGAGGTTTATCTTCAGTCTGGTCTCTTCCATTTGGCTGTCACTCTCGGAGCTGCGTGGCCCAGATGCTCCGGTCCTCGAGGGGGTTTGTGGGGCGGTGAGCCAGGTTGGCGGGGACACTTGGGGCTCTTTCACACAGCTCGAGGCAGGAATTGGGTGGGCCTTGGTGGCCTGCACATCTGCCCACCTAGAACCCCTCCAGTCCGGGGAGGCGCTCCCCATTTCCTGTGCAGAGCCAGCATCCTGACCCCTCGCCCACCCCTGATCGGTGCGGTGAGCGTGAGTGGCCCGCATTGTCATGCTCTCTGGGTTTTGGTTCCAGGCTTTGGAAAGTGACTTCGTCAGTGCCAACCTCCACCACTGGATAGACCTCATTTTTGGGTACAAGCAGCAGGGGTCAGCTGCAGTGGAGGCTGTTAATACCTTCCACCCCTACTTCTATGGCGACAAAATGGACCTCAGCAGCATCGGGGACCCCCTGATCAGGAACACCGTCTTGGGATTTGTCAGCAACTTCGGGCAGGTGCCCAAACAGGTACAGCCACACCCTTCCCCTCTGTCGTCTTTATCAAATAAGTGTGCACACTGTGAGCTGGTGGGGGACAGAGGGGCCTTTGCCCGGGGGGGGGGGCAATGACAGGGCTGAGAACACAGTGGTCTCTGAGCCTCTCCCTGAGGCGTCAGATGGTAGCCCCGGTCCCCCTCTGACGGGGATGAAGGCGATGGCACTATCAACAGTGGTGATGGAGACTGCATTCATCTCTCATGTGTTTGCTGACACTATGATACGTCCACGGGATTTAATTTTTTATACGTATCTACTCTCTAGAGCTGTTGTAAAGGTCCAATGAGTGAAGACATCAAAAGTACCTGAAATATGATCAGCACTCAACAAATGTCAGTTTGCAGTGTGGTTACCTCACTGACTTCTCTCCTAAACTCGTGTAAAGAAATTACTCTTTCACAGAGGAGGAAACAGGGCTCAGACAGGCTCAGTAAATAATCTGCCGACAATTGCCATTGGCAGGTGGCAGAGGAGAGCTCCGGCCCCATCTGGCTCGAGTCCATGTCCTGCCGCCCCGTGACAGCGCTCAGCTCTGTCCTGGGCCTTGGTGACCAGCAGGGATCTCCCAAGAGCCTCTGCTCCGCGGGCTGCGCCCCTGGGGATCACGCAGTGGTGAGGCCGTGCAGCCGACACCCAGAGGAGCGTGGGATTCAGCCACGTGTCTCCTTGGTCCCAGCTCTGTTGATCCTCCAGCTTCGGTTCAGTGGAGACAGGCACCTGGGTGTGGAAGGCTGGCCCCCGCGGGGGTCCTGCCTGGGCACTGGGGGCACACTGAGCAATGAATGCAGCAGCCCGGCCCGGCCCAGCACCTCCTGGCCAGCGGCTTCCTCACCTGAGAGCCGGCAGGCTCGGCTCAGTGAGGGCAGAATGGGTGACGTCCTCTCTGCCGGTCTCGGGGGACCTTCGTGTCCGCTCAGTCAGTAAGGGGCGGGTGGAGGGCCTGGGCGGCTGGGAGAATGGGGGCGCGGCCAGGCGGGGTTTTCTCAGGGAGACCGCTAGAAAGAAGAGAATTTCAGGAAAGATGCTGGGTAGCCTAATAATTTTATTTTTTTCATTTAAAAAATAGAATAATAAAGATAAAGCAGTTAAATCATTCAAAATAGTGGTCACCACCAGCTGTGTTCTATGTTCTCTGTCACAGTCCTTGTTCATAAGGAAAAATGTTCGCTCATCGTGGGATCATGGAGCACACAATGTTAGATTTAGATCTTACTCAATGATGCATCGTGTGAGCCTCTAAACATTCTTTGTAAATAATGATCAGAAGCAGGAGCCGGCACAGGGGCCTGGCGCCTCCGGACACGGTGCAGGGACAGCGCTCCCTACCCTGCTCCCGGCTCAGTCCCTCCCACTCCCGCTTCAGCTTCACCGGCTCCTCCAGCGTCCACCTGCGGGCTGTCGCGGACAAGGCTGCTCCCAGGCCCCAGCGGCCCACCGGGCACGCCTCGGCCTGTGTGCCCAGCTGAGGCCAGCTCCCACCGCAGCCCCTGGGTCCTCGCGCCGGCAACAGGCCCGCTGCTGAAGGAAGCGGCCCGCGGGAACTGGGGTCACGGAGGGGCTGGGGCCGAGCTGGACTCCCTGTGCCCTGGCCGGCAGCACGGCCCGCACCGCCGCACTTCCCGCTCTGCTGGTTACGCAGAAAGGTTGCCATTAGGGACAATTGGATGATGGAGGCCTGAGAAAAATGAAAATAAGAACGGCCATTAGTGGGGATTGCGTGTGCTCTTTGGAAGGCTTGAGAGATGGACGTGTCTGTGCAGAGTGTGGGAGTGGAGGGGAACATGGGAAACGGATCTGGCAAGTGAGCAGACAGGTGTGGGGGGGGGCATCGGACCCCAGGATATGACAGGCAGGGCTCCGGGGGACCAGGGCTCCAGTGAGCTCATCCTGTCCCCAGCAGCCAGGAAGGGTGTACCTGGCAGCCCTGCACTGTGACCCCGAGAAAGGAGCTGCTCCCCGCCGAGCCTCCGCCCAGCCCTGCACTGTGACCCCAAGAAAGGAGCTGCTCCCACGGAGCCTCAGCCCAGCCCTGCACTGTGACCCCGAGAAAGGAGCTTCTCCCCCAGATTCTCCGCCCAGCCCTGCACTGTGACCCCGAGAAAGGAGCTGCTCCCCCGGAGCCTCAGCCCAGCCCTGCACTGTGACCCCGAGAAAGGAGCTGCTCCCCCGGAGCCTCAGCCCTCATCTGAAACAGCCGCAGGGTCAGCCCGAGGGCTCTGTGTGCTGATCACGCTCACCCAGGGCAGGAACCAGCCGAGCCCTGTGCATGGGGACCTGCACGGGGACCACTTCTCTGGCCGTCTGTCCCTCACGCTCTGTGTGTCTGTCCCCTGTCTCTCCAGCTCCTTACGAAACCCCACCCGGCCAGGACCCCTGCGGGGAAGCCTTCCCCTGGAAAGGACGCCCCCACACCTGCCAGCCTGCCCGGCCGCCCGCAGCCCTTTCTCCACAGCCTGCAGGCGCTGCGGCCCTCCCAGGTCACGGTCAGAGGTGAGTGTCCGGCCGCATCCTGGGTCTGTGTGCGAGTGGTCCCCTCAGTGACCGGCATCTTCCAGAACTTCAGGGGCACAGACTTCAGCAGGGCTGGGGTCTGACTGGGTCTCAAGTCGAAGCAGGAACCTGGGGGGCCCTCTGCTCAGAGTGTCCAGGACAAACTCCATCCCACTTTGACTTCTGAGGACTCACCCGTCTCCCTGTGTGTCTGTCTCCCTCTTTTCTGTGCGCACATACACACATGAGCACACCCCTTTCTCTCTCTCTCTCACACATACCCCTCACCTTGAGAGCTGAATGGAGGAGCCAGGCTTCCAGAGGGAGGTGGCAGCCCCTGGCCCTGGCCCTGGTCTCTGCTCTGAGACCCAGTGGGCTGCAGCCAGCGGACAAGGGCATGTGCCGGAGGCCGATGGCCAGGGTGTGGGTTCCCGGCTGCCACTTCCAGGGGAGCTGTGTGTGAAGCCTGAGGTCTGTGCTGGCCTGGGGGGTGCGCGGGTTTGGGGAAATCCCATGATATGGAACATTCCAGTCCCGAGGAGTAAACGGTCATGTTCGGGTAGTTTTCCTTCTGAAGTTCAAGAACAGCACCGGGGCAGCCCGTCCTGCTGGCGGCAGTGCCCGCCCGAGAGGGGCAAGGCACAGAGCCCAGGGCTCCAACGGCGTTGTGCCATCTGCCCGACAGCCTGGGCCCCTGGTCCTTCCGTCATCTCCTAGGAGACACTGAAGACCTGCGTGGCCACACACTAGGTGTACTTACTGAGTCAGGGCGGAACCAGGGAGGGACCAAGGGACAGCCTCAGGGCCGGGGACTGGCTCAGGCCAGGGTCTAATGTGGCCCCGAGTGAGGCCCGGGGGTGAGGTTCTCGGCTGGTGGTTCTGCGTGGACACACACGTGGCTGAGTCCAGGTTGTCTATCCCAGGCTCCTGTTGGGACCTAGTTACAGGGGTGTTGTCCTTTGCCGTGTGAGCTCCACCCTACTAACTTGGGGGCAGATATGTACCTTTTCTCTCTAGGCTCAGAGTCCCCCAAAGGAGCCATCGGCCACATCGTGCCCACAGAGAAGACCATCCTGGCCGTGGAGAGGAACAAGGTGCTGCTGCCCCCCCACTGGAACTGGACCTTCAGCTGGGGCTTCAACGACCTGAGCTGCTGCCTGGGCAGCTACGGCTCGGACAAGGTGAGCGGCCATCGAGCCAGCGGCCCTGGCCTCAGCCTCCTCCTGGGTGGGGCACAGGGAGTCAGGAGATGGGAGCCCCACGGAGGCACAGCTACCCGTGGCCCCATCCTCCACGTGGCTATGCCCAGGGCCCGGGAGGGAGAGGGTCCACGTGGCTATGCCCGGGGCCTGGGAGGGAGAGGTTCCACGTGGCTGTGCCCGGTCCGGGGGGGAGAGGGTCCACGTGGCTGTGCCCGGGGCCCAGGAGGATTAGGGTCCACGTGGCTGTGCCCGGGGCGTGGGAGAAAGAGGGTCCACGTGGCTGTGCCCGGGGTGCAGGAGAGAGAGGGTCCACGTGGCTGTGCTCAGGGCCCGGGAGGGAGACGGTCCACGTGGCTGTGCCCAGGGTCCAGGGGGGAGAGGGTCCACGTGGCTGTGCCCGGGGCGCAGGGGAGAGAGGGTCCACGTGGCTGTGCCCAGGGCCCGGGAAGGAGACGGTCCACATGGCTGTGCCCGGGGCCCGGGAGGATTAGGGTCCACGTGGCTGTGCCCGGGACCCGGGAGGGAGAGGGTCCACGTGGCTGTGCCCGACCCTGGTGGGCTGAGCCTCTGACCACGTTCAGGGAGTCACCTGGGTACTGAGCGGCACGTATCCTGTCTTTGGCAGGTCCTGATGACGTTCGAGAACCTGGCTGCCTGGGGCCGCTGTCTGTGTGCTGTGTGTCCGTCCCCCGGCACCATCGTCACCTCCGGCGCCAGCACCGTGGTGTGCGTGTGGGAGCTCAGCATGGCCAAGGGCCGCCCCAGAGGCCTGCACCTCAAGCAGGTACGGGCCTCGGGCAGGAGTGGGCTCGGCAGGTGCAGTGCCCTCGCAGCCCGCCCTCCTGGCCTCGGGAGCAGAGCGCGCAGTGCGGGTGGCTCACGCTGTCAGCAAGGGCACCGTTTCCTGCCCGTGGGTGGGTTTGACAGCTGCCGCCACACCTCGGTGCCGGTGAAATGGGTTTCCTTGCCCTGGAGGACTCTGGGCACCTGCATGGGCATGTCTGTGGGATGCCTCCCTACCCTCGCACAGCCCCGTTAAATTGTACTATTGTCCTTCCGTGACTGGCGGGTAAAAGTGATAGGTGCAAGGAGGTTAAAGGACTCATCCAAAGTCAGAGCCAGGACTGTGGAAGTGACGGGCAGGAGGGAGGACAGTGGCCCGGGGCTGGGGCCGCAGCTCCTGGGCACGCCTCCCGGAGCACAGGGACCAGGGAGAAGCAGAGAGCTGCTCCTGTCCCCCGAAGGCTCCGCAGGAGAATCTGAGCTCACAAGGCGGGCACTGCAGTCCCCTCAGAACCAGGCTCAGAAAGGTCGAGTTTGCACTGTCCCTGGGTTTGTCTAACCCTAAGCCCCATGCATCTCCCTGCGTACTCCAGACCTTCCCAGGAAGATCCTCGGGGACACTGCAAACGGCAGTGTCTTCTCGTGTCCGTTCGCTCGTTCTCCGTGCAACCCTAAAGTAAGAGGCCAAACTAAGCATACGGAACTGAGCACGGACTCGATTTCCTAAACTGGACACACTTCACTGGGCCTGGGTTTCTCCGGGTGTTTCCGCGCCACCCGGCACGCGAGTGGCGCACGGTCGGCTCTTGCTGCCAGGAGGTGGAGACCTGAATCGGGGGCACTGAGCGAGCGGCTCAGTCCTGCAGAGGTTGGGCACCTGCCGAGAGGCAGCGGCGAGGTCAGTGCCCGCTGCCCTCCCTGACTCAGGAGCCCTCCAGGCCAGCATGGAGCTCCCGCCCCTTCCCATCTGCACCTGCTCCTTCCCATCCTGCCGTGGCAGGGGGCTGGTGTTCATCCACACCTAGGTGAGGAGACTGGGCATCACTCTGTAGACTGTCTCCTTCTCCTGGGCATCAGTCTGGGTGGCAGGAGGTACAGCTGCCTCCAAATCCAGCCGTGGGAATCCTGCATGCTCTCAGCTCCTCGGCAGAGTGAGACCCTTTATCATTTACCTACAGAGGCTGACATGGCCTTGGGGTCCCCACACTGCCAGCTGCTGAGAACAGGGATCTGTCCCCAACTGATACGCAAGACGTCACCATTAAATAGCTTCATAAAGTTTCTGAAAGTGTTTCATCTGAAAAGATATTAATTACACCATTAAGAAGAAATGTGAAGTTCACCTCCAAGTAGAGCGATGCGCGGTGAGCCCGTGTTCGCACACTGCGCACATGCAGGCCGTCCTGACCTTCATGCAGACGTGCTCCCTCCATGTCCGCTCACCTGCCAGCCGTGCCCGCTTTCCACGCCTCTGTCAGTCAGCTTCATGTTCGCAAGACTACATCGAGTGGCTCCGTGTCGATGGCGCCGTTCCACGGACCACCATGGCCCGGTCAGCCGCGTGGAGCAGCGCAGGAGCGTCCTGTTAGACGGCCCCGAGGACCTGTTGCCGGGGAGCGGCAGAAGCCGCGTCCCGAGCAGCTGCAGAATGCCCTCGCTGACCTTCTGCAGCTTGACGGCGCTGCCGGCGCTTAGGGGCCCCTGTCGCCACTCCGCCCCAGCACGAGGACTGTGTCCGGAGGCTTTCACTTGACTTCATTGTCACTCCTTCAGTTAGGAGTGAGATGGTGTGATGGCCACGTAGAGGGCATTATTCTGAGGAACAAAGAACGGACGGAGGAGCCTTGAGCGCTGCCCCGTCTCTGGTTCCCCAGACCTTTCCCAGGGCAGGGGCGCTGCCCGATGCTTCAGTTGAGGCAGCCAGCCTTGCGTGGGTGGGCGCGCCGCGTGTGACCTGGTCCCTCCCTGCCCAGCGCTTCCCTGCAGAGAGCAGCAGGCTCGGTCCCTGGCTCAGAGCCTGTCTCTGAGCCCCAGCCCTGACGCCTGGCCCCGAGCCTTCACTCTGGATCGCTGGTGCCCTGTGGTCAGAACTCCGTTACCAGCTTGAGCTCATTCTGAGAAGACAGCCAGAAAGCTCCCATCAAATCCCCTGCCCTCCTCTCCATCCAGACAGCCTCCATGTTCCCAGCTGACCGGGATCTGCTCTGCGGGTCACGCCCAGAGCGCCGGCACCATCTGGTTGTACCACGATAGGTCCCTGAGGACAATGGAAATCCAAGGCAGAATGTTCAACTGCTGTGAGCAGGCACAGTGGCAGCTTTGACCCAATGAGGGTGGGTGGTCTGTTCGGAAGGTGGAGGTCTACCACGAGGTGAGCCAGCGTGAGCATGTTTCAGATGGCCACCTCTGCTCTCGTCTGGCTCCAGGGGCAGCGGGCACGGGCGGGCACAGCGGCTCTCACTCACGTCGGGCGCCCTGAGCCTCTGGGATGGCTAGGAGGGCAGCCACAGCCGCGCCAGGAGCAGTTCCCAGCCCCGGGGCACCTGTCTCTAGGGAACACGCCCTCTGGCCAGTTCTGGACACATCACCATCCAGGAGTCAGGCCAGACCCTGCGCAGGCCAGCCTGGGGGCTGAGACCTGAGTCGTGACCCCATGGCCAGACTGGCTGTGAGCCTGGTTCCATTAGACTTGAGAAGTCACATCCTTTTAACTGTGATCCGAGCTCCCTGCCTTCTTCCCAGTTTGGTTTCCAGGGTTGCATGTGTTTTGAGGTCCCTCAATGTGACCCCAAACTTGAGTGTGTGTGAAAATCCCCTGCAGAGTCTGTGGACACCAGGCTGTGGGGTGCCCCCCCAAGAAGCTCTAGTTTAGTAGGTCTGGGACAGGGTTCAAGAGCTTGCGTTTCCTATGTTCCCGGCCATGTCCATGCTGCCGGCTGGCACAGTACACATCACTCAGCGCCCAGTAATGGTAGCAGCTGCTACTGCCGCACGAGGCAGGGCCGGGACAGAGCACAGGGTGCTGCAGCTGCCTGTGGGCTGTGATGGGAGGGGGAGCTCCCAGCTGAGCCTGACCTGGAGACCGGCGGGACCCAGAGGGCAGTCGTGCCGTGCACACACACACACTCACACATGCACTCACACACACACACACATGCACTCTCACACACACACGCACTCTCACTCACACACATGCACTTCACTCACACACATGCACTCACACACACATGCACTCACACTCACGCACTCTCACACTCACTCACACACACATGCACTCACACACACATATGCACTCACACACATGCACTCTCACACACATGCACTCACACACACATGCACTCACACACACATGCACTCACACACATGCACTCACACACACGCACTCTCTCACACACACACGCACTCTCATGCACACACACATGCACTCTCACTCACATGCAGTCTCACACATGCACTCTCACACACACATGCACTCTCACGCACACACACATGCACTCTCACACACACATGCACTCTCACGCACATGCACTCTCACACACACATGCACTCACACACACATGCACTCACACATATATGCACTCACACACACATGCACTCACACGCACTCACACACGCACTCACACACACGCACTCTCACACACACATGCACTCTCACACACACATATGCACTCACACACACATGCACTCTCACACACACATGCACTCACACACACATGCACTCACACACACGCACTCTCACACACATGCACTCACACACACGCACTCTCACACACACATGCACTCACACACATGCATTCTCATACACACATGCACTCTCACACACACATATGCACTCACACACACATGCACTCTCACACACACATATGCACTCACACACACATGCACTCTCACACACACATGCACTCACACACATGCTCTCACACACACATGCACTCACAAGCACACACATGCACTCACACACGCACTCACACACATGTACTCACACACATGCACTCTCACACATGCACTCTCACACACACATGCACTCACACACACACATGCACTCTCACACACACATGAACTCACACACACATGCACTCTCACATACATGCACTCACACACACATGCACTCACACATGCACTCTCACACACATGCACTCACACACACATGCACTCTCACTCACATACGAACACATATACACTCATACACTCACATACACACTCACACACTCACATACACACTCACATTTACACTCATACACACACTCACATATACACTCACACTCACATACACATATACACTCACACACATTCACACATGCACTCACGTACTCATGCATACATATATGCACTCACACACACACATGCATACACATATATGCACTCACATATACATAAACACTCACACACGCTTACATATATACACTCACACATACACACAAACACACACACTCATGCACACACATATATACACTCACACACACACATTCCTATGCATCCCCATAGGCTCTGGAATCACTGAATCACCCCAGATCTGTTTCTTTATTTGGGGCCCAACGGTAAAGGGGGGGGGGTGTGGTATCTCATCAAGTAGCTGTGTTGCTGGTCCCTCTTATAAACTGTGGTTCTGTCTCTTGTCCCCAGGCCTTGTACGGACACACACAGGCTGTCACATGCCTGGCAGCATCAGTCCCCTTCAGCATCCTGGTGAGTGGCTCCCAAGATGGCACCTGCATCCTGTGGGACCTGGACCAGCTCACCCACGTGGCCCGCCTGCCTGCCCACCCGGAGGGCATCTCTGCCACGGCCATCAGCGACATCTCGGTGAGGCTCCTTCCCCGCGTGTCCTGACGTGTTTGTGAGCCTGGGTGTCTGCATGCCAGCCATTGTCCCTAGAGAACCGGGGTGCAGAGGTGCTGAGAGGCCCCGGGTGCGGTGCCCTCTTACACAGGCAGAGCGGGGCTGGCAGTGCACGTCTGGGTCTGATCTTTATTTCTGCTTTATCTTTCTCCGTCGGGGGGCGCGGGCAGTGAGAGGGTCCTGTCCTGGTGTGGGTGCCAGGGGGTTGTAGCGAGCAGTTGGCTTTGGTGAGGGATCTGCTGGGCTTAACCAACTTATTCTTTTGACTGCAAATCAGTGTTGACACAGCAGATGCCTCTGGTCTCCAAGGCAGAAAGTGCTTCTGCTCATCTCTCCGTGCTGGCTGCCGAAGATGAGCCTGTCAGGAACTGTGCATGTGTGTGTGGAGAGGGGGAGGGGAGTTGGAGAAATACGTATATAAATCACAGTGTGAAGTTCCTCCCAAGCTGGACTCCCCATCATAGGCATGGAGTTCCCTGAGAACGCAGATGCTCTGCAGCTGCCCATAGAAAACCCCAGGGCTCCAGGGATGGATACAGTAGCGAAGGGGAGCATAGGAGGAGGGATGATAGAGGAGATTCCTGGTGCCAACTTTGGCTGAAAATGGTGCTCCAGGTAGGGTTGAATCCCAAATGAATGTTACATGGGTAGATGGAGGATTGATGGATGAATGGAGCATGGATGGATAGCTAGGCAGATGGACGGGCAGATAGAGGGATGCATGTGTAGATGGATGGCAAAGGGATAGATGGATGGAGAAACAGGTATGTGTGTGGCTGGGTATTTGGGTGAGCTGGTGGGTAGAGGATGGATGGATGGTTGGGTGGGTGGGTGGATGGATGGATGGGTGGATGGATAGGTGGAGGGACAGATGGAAGGACAGTGGGGGAATAGATGAATGAGTAGATGTTTTGGGAAGGCAGCAAACCTGGATCTGCTAAAACATTAATCCTGTAACGAATGATGTCCTCAGACCTCAGAGAAGACTTACACCAGGACAAGAACTTACTGAAGTCTGCTTGTCCAGGAGCCAGCTCAGTGCTCGCAGTATCTCTCAGTGCTCAGGGCTGGGCAGACATGCTCTCTGGCCTCAGGCAGATTACACCAAACAACTGAGGCCAGGAGCCAAGCCTCGAGAGGCTGTGGAGGGCACAGAGCGTCCTGTATTCCATCTGTGGTTAATACAAGGCTCAAAGGCATAGCTCTGTGAATCCCTGTGACAGTGGCCACTAATCCACTGGACACAAAACTAGACAAGGCCTAGAGGGGAAACACTGAAGATAAACATTTTAGAAGATTCAGTGGGGAAATTCCACCTCAGAAATTCCCTCCGGAGGGACGTTGTTCCATTTGATGGGTCACCTGCACTCATTGGAACCTCTGAACTCTGCGTCTACGACGTCATGTCCAAAGCTTCTCGGGGACAGGAATGGCCAGCCAGGTGCGGGCCCTGTGTCCAGAACCATGAGTCGGTCAACCTGGCAGGGAAAGCAGCATCCAAACATGTGATTACAGTATGTCAGGAGCTGGGAACTTACACGTGTGTGAAGGCGGAGCTGGCCTGACTCAGCAGGAAGAGCAGGTGTCCTGGGAGGTCTTGGAGCACCTTGGTTAGTCTCAGAAGATGACAGGTTGAGAGTGCTTGTATACAAACTGAGTGGCTGAGCAAGTGGCCGAGGGACAGGCGGTGACCCAGCTTGGAGTGAAGCTAGATCTCACTGTGCAGGGCACCATTGTATCCTGTGCCGGAGCCCACTTGTCCCTGTGGAATGTCAATGGACAGCCCTTGGCCAGCATCACCACGGCCGGCGGCCCAGACAGCGCCATCACCTGCTGCTGCATAGTGGAGGGGCTCGTGTGGGACGCAAGCCACGTCGTCATCACAGGGAGCCGAGGCGGCATGGTCCAGGTAGGTGTGTCTCAGGCAGGATGAGGGTGTAGTACAAGGACCGTGTCCATCTTTGTTCTGCTCACTTCCTCCAAGGATCTGACCTGCAGGTGGCAATTGAGACCATTCCAGACCAGGTCCCTAGAGCAAGTGAGGGCAAAGACACGGCTCTTTCCAGGCTGAAGTGTGTGTGTGTGTGTGATTTTATACACATATGCACTCATATAATGAAACAAATATGTATCACAAGGTGTGACAGTTGAAGGGTCAATTGCATAAGAACATAGCCCAGTGCTGAAAAGAGATATTTGCACCATCCATGAATCCGTTCACACACCTGTTCATCCATCTGCTAATTGATCTACCTATCCAACTCTTCATTCCTCTACTTACCCATCTACCTACCCATCTTCCCATCTGCCCATCCATCCATCCATCCATCCATCCAATAAAAGACCCATCTACCTACCCAACTATTTATTTTTTCTTCCTTCCTTGCTCCCTCCCTTCCTTCCTTCTTTCTTTCCATCCATATATCTATCTACTCTTCTATTCATCCATCCATCAATCTATCTACTGACTCAGCTATTTCTTTAACAAGTTATCCATCCATCCATCCACCCATCCATCCACTTAACATTCATTGCCCTCTGGCTCAGTTCCAATCACTTTGCATAAGCCACAGGGCACACAGAGTCATGATAAACATGTCATTGTCCTCAAATCCTCATATCCTAGAAGACAAACAGAGAATACATGTGTGTGGTTCGTGCTATGGTTGGGATCATCAAAATGTGCATGGATCCTTGGGGGGGCCGTTGGGGAACCAGGAAGAGAAGGAAAGAGGAGCACGGAGGAGGGAAGACAGAATGCAGGTGATCTTCTGAGAACAGCAGGAAAGATGAAGGAATGAATAAAGATAAACAAGTAAGTCTTCCTCAAAAACTGTCAATTGGATTCAACAGTTTATGGAAAGAAGTGTTAATTGAATACTACAATGTATTCAAGAAAATGCCCGTTGAGTTTTATAAACATTTACGGGAGCTTGCTGTGTGCCAGCTTCTCCTTGCCCTCCAGCTCCAAGTCTCAGAGTGTCATGGAGATGATGCTTCAGAAGCAGAGTAGAGAACATGGTAGATATTCCCAGAGCAGAGTGGATTTATTTCCAACCGAGAGACATCAGAGGAGGTGGCATTTCATCTGATTTCTGACGATAAGGAGAAGTCAGAGTATGGAAGGGACCATGCCGGCTGAGGGGCCAGTGTGCATGGACAGGAGAGACGAGGCTGAGGACGCCCCTGAGAAGTCCCCGTACAGACCCATCTGTGGGCTGTGAGGGGCACAGGGTCACTGCAGAGAGCAGGGCATCCTGAGCTGGCCGGAATGTGAGCAGGTCACAAGGTCTGAGCTTGGTGGGGTATGGTTCCCACTCTAGGTCAGCCAGAGGAGCCTGGCTGGCCCAACATCAGGTGCACTTATTCGTGGGCACCCCAGCCATTCAGCATGGTAGTCAGGCTCCTGGGGTGGCCCAGCACTATGCTGGGACTGGTGTGGAGCTCACAGAAGCATTTCAGCATTGAAGTGGGGGCTGGTCCTTGTCCTTCAGTGACAGAAAGTTCCGACTCAGCAAGTGAGAAGCCATGTGTGGTCAGCCTAAGGGTACTGGCAGCATGCCTTGGGACCAAGTGCCAGACTCAGAGGACAGGGAGGCCCAGCTGCTGAGCGGTGAAGGAGGCCTCTAGGGAGGGTGGCGGAGGGACACGAAGGCATCAGCTAAGTACAGTGATCATACGCTGACTGCCGAGTCCCGATCCTGCAGAGAAGGGGCTGGGGAGATGCACTGCGAACACGGGAGGACAGTGATCTCATCCGCAGCTGTGCTCGGCTGACCCTGTGCACAGGAAGCTGGGGCCCGAGTACCCTTTTTCCCAAGAATACACTGATATCGCAGGCGACAGGCACCGTGCCCTCACCCCTGCTGCCAGGGTCCCCAGGTCTGAAGGGGTGGGTGGCCCTGAGCCTGCAGACAGAGTCCTTCCCCAGCCCATGGTGATTTCTCATTTCTGGACAGATTTGGAAGACTGAGGACATGAAGATTTCTGCTCCTGGGCAGGTGACACCCGACGAGCCCTCAGCTCAGCCTGGCAGCCTGAGAGGTACCTGCCCTGAAAGGGGTGCGAGGGGTGTGAGGGTGCATGTGAGGCGCCTCTGCCTCCCTCTCCTTGCCCCTCCCTGCCCACAGCTGCAGGTCTGCCCAGGCCTGTAGAGCCCAGGGAAGCCACTGAGGCTCCTGGGCTGTGGCGGGCATCGGGGAGACAGGGGCATAGTTTACTGGGAGAGGCTGTTGGGAGGTGAGGCAGCCTCATCTTGCGGGGACCAGCGAGCTCTGGGGGCGGCGTGGCCATGTGCACAGTGGTGGTGCTGGTTGCCGGGGTCCCTGAGCATCAGGAGATGGACACACCATGCAGAGCACGGTCTGATGCTTTCTGCCTCCCTGGGTGACGCTCCAGTGTCCAATTCCCAGCCCAGCCTGAACCCTGGCTACAGACGGGAGCAGGGAGGGGCCTTGCCGGGTCCCCAGGAGAGGAAGTTGTTCCCTGGCCCCAGCCTGTCCTGTTAATCCTAATTCAGCTCACCCAACTCCCCAAGGCAAACTCCTCAGATTGGCTCTGAGGGTCTTTGCATCAGCATCACCCGGGGTGGGGGGGAGATATTCAAATGTAGACTCAGCTCCTGGGGAAAGACAGGTTGTTAGAATGTACTTGTCTATTGAGTCCCCTGGCAACTCTCAGGATGTACCAGTGAGAGATCGGCTGTTCAGAGCAGGTGGGGCTGAGGAAGAAAATCTGTTCCACCTCCTGCCACTGTGACCACTGGCACCTTGGCCGCCGTGGCCATCATCAGAGCTGTGTGGGAGACAGCTGCCCACGGGCAGGTCCACTGTCCACACTCCCCACACGGTCCCTCATTTCTCATGGTAGCCCTGTGAGGCAGCTGTTACTATGACAGTCATGTGAGAGATAAGGAAACTGAGGCCCAGAGATGTATGCTCCTGCCACCCTCTCACTTCTGCCACCAGAGCAGATGTGACCACAGCCAGGTACCCACACTCACAGATCATGCCTGTAACCACTACCACCGCCATCACCACACCAGCCCCTCTGCAGTGAGCACAGGCAGGCATGGACCAAAGTGTCACCTCCTTCTTGTCTTACCGCCCAATGGCCCTGGCACCCCCCCCCCCCCGATGCCACCAACCTTTCTTAGTTCTGCCTTCGTCAAGATTCTGGCCTATGCGATTCAGCTGCCCACCCTCGGGAACTGCAGGGTGCGGGGGCACCAGAGAGGCCTGTGCGACCCAGCAGGGACTGTGCTATCCAGTGACCCACAGGACCTGCGGGGTGCTGAAGCACCAGAGAGGCCTGTGCGATCCAGCAGGAACTGTGCCATCCAGTTACCCACAGGACCTGTGGGGTGCTGAAGCACCAGAGAGGCCTGTGTGACCCAACAGCCCATAACATAGGCATAGAGCCGGGTCCCCAAAGGGACTGTGCAGTCCAGTTACCCGCAGGACCTGCAGGGTGAGGGGGCACCAGAGAGGCCTGTGCCACCCAGCAGGCACTGTGCCACATTACCCGCGGGAGCTGTGGGGTGCTGAAGCACCAGAGAGGCCTGTGCCTCCCAGCAGAAACTGTACTATCTAGTTACCTGCCGGATTTGCGGGGGTGCTGAAGCACCAGAGAGGCCTGCGCAACCCAGCAGGGACTGTGCCATCCAATTACCCGTGGGACCTGCGGGGTGCTGAAGCACCAGAGAGGCCTGTGTGACCCAGCAGGGACTGTGTCATCCAGTTACCTGCAGGATCTACAGGGTGTGGGGGCAGCAGAAAGGCCTGTGGGACCCATCTGTGCACAAGATAGGCTTAGAGGATGGAGGCAGAGTGAATAGTAGCTACACAGATGATCTCCGAAGACCAAATGGGAATTACAACTAAAACAAAGAAAAATACTCAAAAAAAAGCAACAGAAAAGCAGCAGGACAGGACCATATAACCAGGGACACTGGTAGGATCTGCAGAGGCATGAGAGGGTGGCAGGCTGGGAGCCCACGGACAGCAGCAGTCTTAGCTGTGAGCAGCGCCCTTGGGAATAAAGACCAAGCCCACTCCACAGCACAGAGAGCCAGGACAGAGCACTAAAATAGCCACAGCCACTCACCTAAGGACTACAGCAGAAGGAGGGTAGACTGAACTGGAACTCTGTGGAGACATGCGGGATATGGAGGGCACACAGTTTTTGCTGAGTTGTGGCTACAAAGGACAGTGGCCAGTGTGCTCCTTCCCAGAGCTGTGGGGAAAAGCAGCAGCACCCCTCCCCCCTCAGAGATTCAGCCTTTCCCAGGTGAGGCAAAGAAATGCAAATTGAGGCTCATTAATAATCAGCATCTATCCCACCCTCTGGAAGTCCTCTTATGCAGAACACCAGGGCTACATTCCAAGGCACTGAGTAACTGAGACTACTAGCCACCAGGAAAAAGCGAGAGGATAACTGAACCTTTCCTGGGCTTGCAAATCTACCCAGGAAAGTAAGACTTGACAGTGGTGTTTAACATGGGCCCACCCAGGCTCACTCAAACCCAATAGAGGGAGCCCAAACAGCAGAACACCAACACCCACAGGGAAAATTTGGCAGGCTCCAAAACCCACTGTGATAACCAAAATGGTGAAGCAAAGAAACAAATCCCAAATGGAAAAAAAAAAAAGAGAGAGAGAGAACTCTATTGAAGATGAGATCAATGAAATGCAGCTAAGCAAATAAATTATCAGAGGTAGAGTTCAGAGCCATGATCTTGAAGAAGCTCAACAGCATGAGTAAGGACATCAGCACCAGGAGTAAAGATATAGAAACATTGAAACCAAGTGGAAATGAAGAATGACATAGCAGAAATTAAGAACACATTTGAAGGACTAATCAGCAGAGCAGAGGAAGCTGAGTACCAGATCAGTGAATTAAAGCCAGGGTAGAAAAAAAATCAATCAATCAGAAAACCAAAAGGAAAAAAAACAATTAAAAAACAGGAAGATAGCTTAAGAGAACTGTGGGATAACTGGAAAGGTATAACATTCGCATCATAGGAGTCCCCGAAGAGGAAGAAAATGGGCAAGGGTTAGAGAATATATTCAAAGAAATAGTGACAGAAAACTCCTAACTTGGTGAAGGAAGAAGGTATTCAAGTTCAAGAAGCACAGAGAGCCCCAAGTAAGAAGAACCCAAACAGGCCGACACCAAGACACACAGTAATCAAAATGCCAAAAGTTAAGGACAAAGAGAGAATCCTAAAAGCAGCAAGAGATAAGCAACAGGTTACCTACAAAGGAACCCCCATTAGGCTATTATCTGACTCTCAACAGAAACACTACAGGCCAGAAGGGAGTGACATGAGGTAATCAAGGTAATGAAAAACATGGATCATAATTCAAGACTACTCTATCCAGCAAGGCTATCATTCAAAATAGAGGTCAAATAAAGAGCTTTCCAGATGAAAAAAGGCTACGGGAATACATTAGCACCAAACCAGCACTGCAAGATATGCTAAAAGGACTGCTGTAATTAGTAGAAGAAATGGAAAAAATATATATAACCCCACTAAACAGAAATGGCAATAAATAAGTACATATCAATTATCACCTTAAATGTGAATGGTTTAAATGCTCCTATAAAAAGACACAGAGTAGCTGACTGGATAAGAAAGTGTGACTCACATATATGTTGTTTACAAGAAACCCACCTCACAACAAAAGACTCACATAGGTAGAAAGTGAAGGGATGGAAAAAAATCTTTCAAGCAAACGGAAAGCAAAAAAAAAGCTAGGGTAGCAATACTCATATCTGATAAAGTAGATTTCAAAATGAAGGCCATAACTAGAGACAAAGAAGGCCACTTCATAATATTGAAAGGATCTATCCAACAGGAAGATACAACCTTGATAAACATATATGCTCCTAATATAGGAGCACCGACATATATTAAAAATCTTCTGGAGGACTTCAAAGGAGAAATCAACAGCAATACAATCATAGCAGGGGACTTCAATACCCTGCTCATATCACTGGATAGATCTTCTAGATAAAAAATTAACAAGGAAACACAGACTATAAATGAAGCACTAGACCAAATGGATTTCATAGATATCTACAGAGAATTACATGCCAAAACTTCAGAATTCACATTCTTCCCAAGTGCACATGGGACATTCTCAAAGATAGACCACATGTTAGGACACAAACTAAGTCTCTACAAGTCAAGAAGATTGAAGTCATATGAAGCATCTTCTCAGATCACAATGGCATGAAACCAGAAGTCAATTGCAAAAACAACATGCAAAGACATTTGAAAATATGGAAGCTAAATAGATGTTATTGAACAATGAATGGGTTACCGTGGAGATCAAGGAAGAAATTAAAAACCAATGAAAATGAATACACAACAACACAAAATCTACGGGATGCAGCGAAAGCAGTTCAGAGAGGGAAGTTCATAGCACTACAGGCCTACCTCAAGAAGCAAGAAAAATTTCTAATAGACTATCGAACTTTGCAACTTAGAGAACTAGAAAGCATCTCTCTCCATTTCACTTCCTCTCTCTCTAAAATCAATAAAGGAAAAAAAAATTTTTTAAAAAAACCAGCTGGTGTGGCTCAGTAGTTGAGCATCGACCCATGCATCAAGAGGTCGCTGGTTCAATTCCCAGCCAGGACACATGCCCAGATTGTGTGCCCGACCCCCCAGTGGGGGGCATACTGCATGCGGGAGGCGGTCAGTCGATGTTCTCTCTTATCGATGTTTCTATCTCTCTCTCCCTTTCACTTCCTCTCTCTCTCAAATCAATAAAGGAAAAAAAAAGTTAAAAAAAAGGAACTAGAAAGCAACCAAACAGAAAACCCAGAGCAAGTAGAAGGAAGGAAATAGTAAAGATCAGAGCAGAAATAAATGACATGGAGACCAAAAAAAAACAATTCAAAGGATCAGTGAAATAAAGAGCTGGTTCTTTGAAACGATAAACAACATTGATGGACCCTTAGCTAGACTCATCAAGAAACAAAGAGAGAGAACCCAAATACAAAAAATTAGAAATGAAAGAGGAGAAATAATAACT